TTGCTGGAATTATGTCGCCTGTCAGCTTGTCGTTGGCCGGATAACTTGCGTGTCAGCTCCAGCGGCATAGCAGAATCGTCTGGACACGTCTTTGTATTGCAGTCCCGGCTACGCGCAAAATTATCGGCAAAGTTTTGGTTCGCAAAGCTTTGTTGGCGCAAAACAGATATGCGCAATCCTTCGTGTTTCCAAAATGCAAGCACGCGCCTTTCTCTACAGTTCTCCGCAGGCGGAATTCTTCGTATCGTATTTGTGGTATCACAGTTGTGCGTTATTTTTAGTAGCTTTAATCACATTTCCGTGTGCACCTACAATTCTTCCGACATGTTTGCGCGGAAAGGATGTTTTATATTGCATGCCTTTTTCGGCGCACGGACGCAACGGGACTGGGCGCAAAATGGCCATTGTAGTCGATACGCCCGGAAACACCATTAAACAACAATAACAAACACGCGACGGGATGTCAGTTTTGACCGTGCGGTGGTTATTTTTAATCTGCTGTTTTTTACGATTTTTTTTAATCAGAAGGCGAAGTTCGGTGGGTACAGACCGTAAGAAGTGCACCAGGTGTTAATGAGTTTGCTGGTGGCATCAGCGGCCGAGCTGGCCAGTGACGGTACCGCAGTGCGTAATGTGTCTTTGCCCAGGGTCCACGGGAACCGGTGCAATTCTGCTACCAACGTTGTGTAGCAGGCCTGTTGGTCTTGATAGTGAACATTGACAGTGAGCGTAACTAATTATCGGCGTTGTTCGCGCTAAGCCGCATAATTCGTGGGGCAGTATCACCACCCAGTGTGAGTCTCGCTTTATATACAGCCACAGCGAAGCTCGACCGATGCAGAAGACATCATAAAAGTAGGCTGAAATATAAAGAAGGTTGAATTCATGGACATACACTCTTTTGGTGCAGGTAGATGACTGATGCGACTATTTGCGTTGCAATCATTTGTGTTCGAAGATGGACGTTGCAGTGGAAACTGGGAAACTTAGAAACATTGGTAACGGAATTCGTTATCTATTGAATCAGGCAGTATTAACGCATCATGATATGCGATATGTCATCATATGCAGTCATATTGTGGCAAATAAGTGAAGAAGCTGCTGCTTAGTAGAGCAGCTGAGGCAACAAAACCAACAGGGCCGGTGACCTTCCTCTGCCTGGGGCGGCAGACCTCTCGGGCGTGTACGTTCGGATCGAGGCCTCCGACACAGTCCGGATCCAGTCGGACCCGGCCCTCTCGGCGGCTGCGGCAGAGTCGGAGAACCCCTCCCCCTCGGCGGCTGCGGTGGAATCGGATAATCCCCCTCGGTGGCTGCGGTGGAATCGGAGAATCCCCCTCGGCGGCTGCGGCAGAATCGGAGAACCTCGGCGGCTGCGGCGGAATCGGAGAATTCCCCCTCGGCGGCTGCGGCGGAATCGGAGAATCCCCTCGGCGGCTGCGGTGGAATCGGAGAATCCCCTCGGCTGCTGCGGCGGAATCGGAGAACTTCCCCTCGGTGGCTGCTGGTGGAATCGGAAAATCCTCGGCGGCTGCGGTGGAATCGGAGAATCCCCCTCGGCGGCTGCGGCGAAATCGGAGAACTCCCATCGCCTCGGGAGACGGACGACTCAATCGATTGGAAAATCCGGAGCGCCTTCGTTACGTATTGCCCCATCGCCTGCTCTTTGTTCCGCTATTCGTTATGACGCGTTTTTCCCGGCTGCCTATTAGTTTCCCTTGTGTTGTCATCACGAGTATAACGTTGTCCTAGTTCGTTGTGTTTCATGTGCATTCGGCACAAGCATATGTCGGTGTATATTCGGTATATCGTCTGGAGCGTCCGCTCTGGGAGTTAGCACAACACGACACCGTGCCATGCTGCGTTGTGGACCGCCACCAGCGGGAACGTCACAATCCCGGCGTTTATTGGGGTCCGAATGGATGACGCACGCCGCGTCCGGCGCCCGTGGCCGTGTGCCGTGCCTGCCCAGGCGGCGTTGCATCGCTCTGCGCGGCGCGCCTCTTTGATGTGGCCGGTAACAGGTACCGCCCCCACCCCTCTGCCCGCGCCCGCCCCCTGCGCTCTCCCTCACGCCGCGCCGGCCGGCTGCGCCGCCAATTTTGTCATTTTCGTGTCAATCAAGCTGAGGTGGCGGCATCAAAGGCGGCCGCCGCACGGTCGCGTGCTGGCCGCCATGGTCGTGCCGGCGGCGGCGGAAGCGGCGTGGCGCGGCGCGGCTCCAGCGATGCCGGATCGGCGCCGTCCGGCCGCCGCACGCCGCGATCGGACTCGCCGGCGCGCGTGCCTCGCAGTAAGATCGGCCGCGGCGCGTTTGTAGCCCTGTTCGCCCGCGTGACGTGCGACCGCGCACATTCGCCGCGTGCGGCCGCGCGCGAAATTCCCGGCGAAAATTGCACAGATTGAGCTACGACCCGCCCGCGTTCACAATGCCTGTTGACCGGCTGCAGCCACCGGCTCGTCCACGGGTTGACAGGCGGCCGGACCGCCAGCTCGAGTGGCTTTGCGACAGGCCGCGGAGCGGCCAGAGTCGTCGACGGTGCTGCGGGCTCGCCGACCGCCCGGCTCCGCCCACCCCGCAAGCCACGCCCGGCAAGCAGGTCGCCGCCGCGTCCGCCAGCGTCGAATCGGGCGGGCGATGACCAGATTGGCGGGTTGCGTGCCGATAGACAGACGTATCGAGCGGTGCGGGCGGCCGCCACGCCAGTGCGGTCCGGTGCGGTCCGGTGGGTCCGGTCTGGTATGGTCTCGTCTGGTGTGGCCAGACTGCCGTGACCGCCACACGTCGGAGTACGGCCGCCAGCCGTCGGCCCGAGCCGCTTTGTCGGCGATATTTGCCCGCTTTTTTGCGGCTCGGGCGCCCGGACCGAGCCTTTTCAGACGACTGCGTAAAAAACGCCTGCCGCCGAATACATTAAATACCGATTCATAATTCAGACCTCCCGATTCTCCGTCTCCCCATTCAATCCGTGCCTGCCGCATTCTGGCCATAAGAACAACGGTGTAATATTCTTAATTACAGGCTGGGGCCGATAAATTAACGTGGCCGGGCGGCAGCGGGGGCCGCCAAAGGCCGGCCGACGTGGCGCGGCGGCCGCCCACAATTGATGGCCGCCACCCCGGTCCAGCTCGGGCCGGAGGAATAATACGCGCTGTCACTTTGTTGCATTTCCCGTGGGGCGCCGGCGGCGGGCCGGGCCGCGTCTGTCAGCGGCGCACGCCCGGGCCTCGGGGCCGTGCCGAGCCGGCCGCCGGTGCGCCGGACCGGCCGGGCGCCAGTCGCGGGCGTTGGTGTCGGCGTGTGACCCCGCCGGTCAACCGGAGTGGGCCGCAGGGGCACAGATGGGTGGTGGGCTTCGGGTACGGCGTTCAGGCGTGTCCAGTGGAGGTTCTCTGTTCACCTGAATGCGACGGCGATCGTCGGTCCGCGGAATTCAGTTTGTCTTTCCAGCTCTTCTCCACTCGCTTTCTCCTAACCTCGTCAGCTATGATACGCCATTATGCTATGTCACGTGATGGTTGTTATGTGGCGTTCGTTGTTCACACCGCGACCTCTCCCTTTCATGGAAGTTGATAAACCTGTGTGTTTCCTGAGCGGACTTGTGCATCTCCCAAACTTGCTGGGCTTCAACAGACCACAACATCTGAAGGATCAGTCGATTTGGTTGGTTGTTGACATTGCCGATTCATGTATAGCTTGCCTCACTGACGTCACGCAATCGGCCACCCCTGTATTGCGTTCTCCGGCAGTCCGTGATGGCCCAGTAGACCGTGATGGCCCAGTAGTCCGTGATGGCCCAGTGCCCCGTGGTGGTCCGAATCTTAGCGGCCACGTGGTTTAAAACACGCTTCCATCGCAGCTTAATTAAAAGCGAGCGAAAGAAGGCCGGACGACCGTCGTGGGGGGGGGGGGAGGGGGGGGGAGAATGTCGCGACGTTTATACTTTGCAGTTCGCACACTGAAGGACTTGACTGCTTCGTCTTTGACTCTAAGAGATAACACGGTTTAACAGCCTGCGGAACCATGCCATCCTTACGCAATGTGGTGTTCTAACAGAATGTGGGCTGTAAACCTGAAGCACCGTTTCGTCTCCCAATTGGGCTGGTTGCAGGCTGTTGAAATACGTGCCTAACGCTCTCAAATTGTGCTCATCTATGGCTTCATACCGATTTCATGGACATGGGCAGCTCCATACGAAATGTTACTCATGCCCGTGTTGACTAGCGTACCGGTCTTTTGCTACATGGGTGCGTGTATATATATATATATATATATATATATATATATATATATATATGTTAAGGGGGAAAGATGAAGGATCTTGGATCTTGAGGATGAAGCTCTTCTCGGAGAGATTGACCAGGTAGATGACGGCTTTTGTGGTCAGGAACAGGTGCTAATTTAGCACCTTGATTTGCACGGAAAACAGGTGTGTGGTCCAGACTAGACCATGCATATATGTATACATGTCTACTATATATTGAAGTGAGAGCGCCTTGGAAAAGCCTCCACATAGGGAACTGGCACACCGCCCTGTGGGAGAATCTGCAGGCTGGAGGATGAAAGGACGCTAGGGCCTCACTTTGTTTCGCAGTTTTCTCTGGGTATTTCATTTTATGGTACTCAGCTGAATGCGTCAACTTGCGCACGCATTACCGTCTGACCACCTGACCTCCTCAAACAACCACGGCCGGCGTGAGCGCGGTGCGGCTGGCCGTGCTGACGTCTGGCGTGCAGTACCATGACCTGCGTTAACCACTGCGCGTCAGGAAACCAGGGGTACGGGGTTTGATTGCCCGCAGTGCCCCGCGCTTCCTGCCAAGTTGAGAGGCAGGCGACGCCATATAGCCTCAGCAGCGGGGTGCGTCATAAAGCCCCAATGACAATACCAATGGTCGTGCCCCCGTCTGCCGTGCCGTGCCGTGCCGTGCCGTGCCGTGCCGTGTCGTGCCGTGCCGTGCCGTGTCGTGAGTGACCCCCGACGGGCGGTGGCCGGCAGGCGCGTTTGACGACGATGACGTGACACACGTGGAGGGCGAGGTGGAGCCTGTGCGCGACCTGGCCATCATCAACGAGGAGCTGCGGCTCAAGGATGAGGCCTACCTGCTGCCCTTCATCGAGAAGTTCGAGAAGAACGTGCTCCGCTCGGACAAGAAGGCCAAGCCCGAATATGTGAGTCGGTGGCACGCGTGAATCCGCGTGCCGGGAAGCGGGACGGTCGCCAGTCTGTGTACCGCAATGCTGCGTGGTTTTACTGGTGCTGTTTTGCGCGTAGTGGACTGAGTCACAGGGTTTCCGTGCTTCAGTTTGTCGTGCAGATTGAAACATTTCAGTCCCCTCCCCCAAGTATTTATGAATGCAAAACACTATGCTTCCTGAAGCATTTTCTTCTTGATTTATCATTTACGGACATTCTGTCCATAATTGATGGCTTACGGTATTTTTTATATTTTACATTGATTTATGGCCAGGCACTAGAACTCTTAAAGAGATCGGGTCGGCGGGCTGTTGGGTGACTTCCAGGAGGTGATGTATCTCGACCTGAACTCACGCTCGGCTCTCGCTGCAGGACATCCTCCTCAAGATCAAGTCTGTTCTATGCGAAGACAAAAAACATCTGCGCTTCCAGGAGTGGAACGCCAATGAGGTACGCGGCGACGGTCCCTTCCTCTCCCCCGCGAGCGCTATGGAGACGTTTGTTTTTGGCGCCGCTGGTGTTCGGTGGCCCGTAGTGCGCTGCTGATGACGCCGGGGAAGTAAGCTCCGCACTATCACCCGTGTCTCTTTTCGCCACGCACTGCTATTTGATGACGACTGAGGGAGCCCTGCTCGCTGTCATAAAGTTGAACAGGAGGCCTGGCGTCGTTGGTAATATGCGGTATTTCATAAGCTTGTGTAGCGGGGCGTTCGTCAAGATTGTTTGCATATGTAGGACTTGGGAAGAGGGGGGGGGGGGGGCGAGAGGGTTCGTAAGGCATGCCGTTTGACTAGTTTGCAGCGTGCTGAGAAGGGCTAGCAGCTGTGGGTCCGTTCATAACCGTTTCCACCTGCGGCCAGTGTGCAAAATTCTTCGCTGATGTCGGCCAGTTGTTGACGTACCGTTTCGCGCGTGCTGCATGTCGAACCACACACCCGTTTTTCGTGCAGATCGAGGTGCTAAATAAGCACCTGTTCCTGACCGCCAAACCCGTCATCTACCTGGTGAATCTCTCCGAGAAGGACTTCATCCGGAAGAAGAACAAATGGTGAGCATTTCATCGCACGCCGCCACGTGGGCCGTGTGCATCAATGCCACGCCCATTCTGTTTTGCCACGTGCTCAGTGAAGAAGCCACCTCGCAGTTGGAGTCGAGGAGCGACGCATTGTGACGCTCGGCCTCGCCGTGGGAGCCTGCTCTACTTGTCGCCAGATGTCACCACCGACTGGCCGGTTGTAGGGCGGCCTCGGCGCGGACGGGACGCCGAAGGGTTGACCTCCCGCCGCGCCGTGTAATGTGGTAGCAGCGCCGGCCAGCCGGCACCATTAATCGCGCCGGTGCCCGGTCCTATGCGCGCGCTGCGGGACACCACCTGTCCGGATCGGTCGGCTCCGCAAGGGTGCCGGCCGCGCCCCACACAATTCCTTCGGAGGCGCGCGCCCGTCGGCGCGGCGGCGGCTCGCCGGCCGGACAACCCCTCGCGTGTTCACTTGCTTGTCGTGATTGATGCACCTGATCGTGTTTCGTGAATGTGGGGAGTCGGCAATGCTGCGAATTGGATCTGTGCAGGACATTAGGAGGCAATAATGGTCCGACATTTGGACCGCCTTATGTTCATAAAGTCTTTTCGTGCACGGACGGGATAACCGGGAGCTGAGCGACCTCTGCACGTATCATGCGCTGACAGCGCCTGGGCGCGTCACGGCGCGACCGCTGAACATCGTGCGGCGTGGAAACGACACTCATCTGCACGGCCAGCCTGAAGTGCATCTCGGGCTCTGGCAGTCTTCTGCTGAGAACGGCAGGCTGCTCTCTGGGGGAGCTGCTGGCGCCCAACAGGCTTGGCGGGGGAGGGGGGAGGACACCCTCAAGTGACGTGTCAGCACAGACCGTGGGGCCCGCAGTGCTCGCTGAGCGTGGCTTCCGAGCAGCGACCGTCGCTGGCAGCGGACCGCCGCTGCGCTGGAGGCCAGACCACGGCAGGGCGACACTGCTGGTGGGCGTGGCGGGCGGCGCTCTGCTCGGGCGGACACGCCGCCTGGCCTGGCCCGGCCTGCCGCCCTCTCGCGAGATCGATCGCGCGCACCCACCGGCCGCCAATTACTGGGCCGACGGTGTGGCGGCGCGCCGGCGACGAAAGGTTGCGCCGAGATCCGCTGCAGATACTGCCGGCTGACACCCTCTGAAGCGCCGCCGCGGCACCCCCCGAGGCGCCACCGCGACACCCTCTGAAGCGCCGCCGCGACACCCCCTGAGGCGCCGCCGCGACACCCCCTGAGGCGCCGCCGCGACACCCTCTGAGGTGCCGCCGCGACACCCTCTGAGGCGCCGCCGCGACACCCTCTGAAGCGTCGCCGCGACACCCTCCGAGGTGCCGCCGCGACACCCTCCGAGGCGCCGCCGCGACACCCTCCGAGGTGCCACCGCGACACCCCCTGAGGCGCCGTCGCGACACCCTCCGAGGCGCCGCCGCGACACCCTCCAAGGTGCCGCCGTGACACCCCCCGAGATGCCGCCGCGACACCCTCCGAGGCGCCGCCGCGACACCCTCCGAGGTGCCGCCGCGACACCCTCCGAGGCGCCGCCGCGACACTTCCGGGATGCCGCCGCGACACCCTCCGAGATGCCGCCGCGACACCCCCCCGAGGCGCCGCCGCGACACCCTCCGAGGCGCCGCCGTGCGGCGGGTAATAACGCCAACGGCGACGAGCTGGTGAGGCGCCCTGCCCGTCCGGTGTCGGCGGAGGACGGGGTCCAGCGCGCCGGGGACTGTTGGTGGCGGGGCGCGGGGCCGGCCTCGGTCGGAGCAGCGGTCGGTCTGGTTGTGTGCGGCTGGCGGCGCCGACAGCCGCAATCGCGCGGCGATCGGCAGCCGGCCGCGCCGCCGCCCTAATCGCCACTTCATTGAACCCAATCAGGGGGCGGGTGCGCCGCGCCGGCCGGCCGCCCGCCGGCGCTGGCTAATGACGGCCCGGCCGCTGACGTCACGCCAGGTCAGAGGTCATGTCACTGCTGACGGCGTAAGTGGGCGGCGGCGACGCTGGCGCCCGCCCCGCCGGCGCCCGGCGCGCCCGCCGGGCTGAGCCAGGGCGCCGGCCCCTGGAGCGGGCCCGCCCGGACAGCCCGCCCCAAGTGGGCCGCGTGTGCTGCGGCACGGCTGCGGCTGTGACGTCATGCAGGCCCAGATCGCAGACAGCCTCATCCACCAATCGAAGCCCGTTTCTGCGAGGTGATCGTTTTGTCTGTCTTTTTTTTGTCGGCGTTGCGTTGGATGGAGCCGATGTTGTTGTTGGATGGAGCGCAGGTGTGGGGTGATTCTCCGGAGGCCATTCCAATGGGATGAGCTGGCCACGTGGCACGCACCAGTCCACCGACTGGAATATGCCCGGTGGCCGTAACCGTTCCTTGAACTGAGCGATGAGGCCCAGGGGTCACGCTTCTGGTCCTGCTTAAGGCGCCATTTTGCCCCACGGCCCGTGCCAGCTCGTGATGGAGAACAGAGGGCATAGCATATTCATTGCCTCATACGTTTTTTTCGACGCTGGGAGCCCCGTGTCTCCTTATCAATGCACAGCACTGTGCTTACCCATCATGGCTGTGATTATTATCCATATCTATGTTCATGTGCAGCGTGGGATTATCCCCCCCCCCCAAAAAAAACGCATCGCCGGATCCACCCGGATTGTTCGCAGTACCCCTAGCCGCGACAGGCGAGACCGAGGACAGGCGAGGGTCATGGGCAGACGGCCGAACGAACTGCGCGACCATCCAGAGCCGGGAGCACGGCGGAACGTGACGAAACGCGCCCGGTGCGGTGGAAGGACGAGTTCCTTCAACCATGTACCGCTTCTCGAGGAAGGCCACGGGAAAGCGCACCAGGCGATGCCTGATTTCATCGCGCAGACGGGTGCGGGCACCTGTTGCAGCTGAGCGGGTGGCCTGCGAGGCGACCCGTTCAGCCGCGTCCGTGCCGCCTTCGGGCCAGGCCGGCCTGGGCCGCGGCCAGCCAGTCCCCGGTCCGCCGGCGCCGCAGCTGGGCCGCCGCGCCGGCCTGGCCCGACCGGCGCCCCGCCAGATCTGAGCTGCGTCATGCGATATGGGAGGGGTGGCGACACGGGATCGCCGTCTGTACGAGGATGCTGCGCGTCGCGCTTCCGGTCGTGTGCGCCTTCGTGCTGGCGATGACAAACCGCGCCGCGACGCCGTGTCGACCTGTCCGGATGCTCTGTGCTCTGGTGGGCAGCATGGGCTCAGATCCGGACACTCAGCGGAGGCACCGCGCTCAAAGCAGCCAGGATTTTCTGAAACCACATGGACCGTACACAAGTGCATCACTTCAGACCGGGGACACCTCCAAGGCCTTTGGTCGTGCCGAAGGTGGTTGTCTCCCGATGAAGCTCCGGCGGCTGGGCGCCAACTCCTACCGGGGCCATTGCCGGGCCTGCAAACGGTCACCATCATAGGCGCGTTGGGGGGGGGGGGGGGGGGAGGAGACACTTCTTAAGGCGCATGGCGTTAGTCGGGGACGAGTGTTAAAGTCACTTGCGTTCTTGTTGGTTGCTCATGATCTGGCATGATCTTGCTCATGATCATGGCATGATCTTGCATCATCTGGCATCTGGGGCTGGAGGAGAGATATGCACCCGACCTCTATGCTGTTCGTAGCGGTCTTCCACTTCCAAACTCTTGGAATTTCCTTGAATACCGCGCGGGAAGGGTACTGACTGGTGCAGATTTTGGTTTAAACAGAACGGTCAACGATCAACGAGACGAAAATGTGGCATGGGAAAAACGCTGACAGGCGCCGATTCTTAGTTTAAATAAAAGCAGAAATAGATAGCGAGGCGAAAACTAATGGGCACACCACCACCGATGGTATTCGATTGGTAGAGTATCACGTGGCGCCGATGGTATTCGATTGGTAGAGTATCACATGGCGCCAGTGGTAGAGTATTACATGGCGCCGATGGTATTTGATGGTAAAGTATCACACGGCGCCGATGGTATTCGATGGTAGGGTATCACATGGCGCCGATGGTATTCAATAGTAGAGTATCACATGGTGCCGATGGTATTCGATGGTAGAGTATCACATGACGCCGGTAGCATTCGATGATACAGTATCACATGACGCCGGTGGTAGAGTAAACTTGGCGCCGATGGTATTCGATGGTAGAGTATCACATGGCGCCCGATGGTATTCGATGGTATAGTATCACATGGCGCCGTTGGTACGCACCGCCTTACAACAGCCGGTCGAGCGTTTACTCAGACGACCTGTCCCCCGATGGGCACATGCGTGCGCAAGCGCCTGATTACGGTGGAATGATGATGCCATTTTTGTGAGGCCGCATTAGCTCGTGAATTCCCTTCCATCATAGCATATGTAGCCGGTGACCGTGCTGCTGGCTGGTAAAATTCTTGAGTTGACGGACTCTGCATTGGCCGGCCCTGGCTGCTGGTTAGATCACGGCACCGGCCAGCGCGCCCGGCACGTGACCACGCCCCGGTCGTCAGTCTCCGCATACAGGGGGCTCTGGGTTCGACTCGGCGGTCACGTGACCGGGCATACTCCCAAAGCTAGAAATGGTCAGCTGGCCGGCCAGATGACCCCGTGCGCAGTGCACCAGGCCAGCCAAAATGAATGCGTCACAGTACACATGCGCCACTTTTTGACATTGCTCTCGGCGACTGCTTTGTGCCCCCGCCGTGCGTATCACCTCATGTTTTTAGTGCCACTCATGTTCCGTAACCGCTGTTGTTGCTAGTAGAGCATGGCCATGGCACTACCGGCCATCAAGTGGGTCTCTGCGTATGCGGCCGTGTCGTGTTTTTCGGCGCGATCAGAAGCTGTCGAGAACGGGTAGCCTGTTGCCAGGCGGCTGAGGCAAACGGCTGAACTGACCCGCCGGGTACCTGCGTGCCGCAGGCTGGTTAAGATCAAGGAGGCTGTGGAGCAGAGCGACCCGGGCGCACTGATCGTGCCCTTCTCAGCCGCCTTCGAGAACAAGGTGATCGACATGTCGCCTGAGGAGAAGAAAGCGTTTGAGGAGGAGACCAAGGCCAACAGGTGAGGTCCGCATCAGAGAAGGAAGCCAATGTGACCATATGAGGTCCTCCTCAAAGGAGACTTAGGTCATCAGATGAGGTCCGCCTCAAAGGAGACCAAGATCACCTGGTGAGGTCCTCCCCAGAGGAGACTAGCAGGTGAGGTCCGCCTGAAAGGAGATCAACATCACCAAGTCCTCCCTAGATGAGACCAGCAGGTGAGGTCCGCCACAGACGAGACCAAAGTCACCAGGTGAGGTCCTCCCCAGAGGAGACCAGCAGGTGAGGTCCTCCCCAGAGGAGACCAGCGGATGAGGTCCGCCTCAGAGGAGACCATGGTCACCAGATGGGTCAGATGAGGTCCGCTTCAAAGGTGTTTGTTCATCCGGTGTGTTTGTGGGTTAGTGTTTGTAAGTTTTCCCCGGTAGGCCGCTGCTCCTCGCGCTCAGTGACGGCGAGCCGGCGAGTGTTGTCTGTCCCATGTGGTGTGTCGGCAGCGCACTGCTGATGTCAGACAAGTGTGTGAACATTAGCGCGATGAAATTTCTATTCAGGGCCTGGTCACACCTGGCATTCGCGTCTCGAAACACCCTGTGAGAACTCTACCGAGACTATTTCATGGAGCTCGCTGCATTATTTAAGTTTATAGACACACTAGCGGAGAATGGAAGCAATTGCGAGAACAGCGAGACTCTCGGAATTTGTAAAGGTTCCAGTCATCGTAAATAAAGTGCGACCGATTCTGCTATATGGGTCTCTGCGTCCCTCTCGGAGCGCTACCCTCGCTGCCGATAATATTTCTCCGAGGCCGGCCTGATTTTTTCTGGGGCGCACCCTCGGCCTCCCGCTGGACGACGGGTAATATACCGGGGCCATTTTTTCTCCGATGCTCCGTTTTACCATGCGTCCCGTGGCCGCAGAACGTCGGCGCCGAAATGACCGGTATTGACGGACGGCGGCGGCGGCCGGCGCAGCCTTGACTAGCCGCTGCACCGGCCGCCGACAAAGCGGCGCGCGGCGCCGGCTCCTTTCTGCGTGCGGACGTCACGCGGGTCTCGAGACGCGGCGGCGGTATTTATGGCTGGAAAATGTCGCCGAAATCATGAGAACCGGGCGGCGCCGGCCGCCGACGGCGGGCCGCGCCGCGGCCACGCGGCCCCGGCATCGGCGACTGATTTGCGGCCGTCGAAAGCTGGGCCCCTTGTGCGCGACGGGGGGGGGGGGGGGGGGCGTGCGACTGCGTCGCCGTCGGGCGCCGCCGGCTGACCCAGATGGTGGGAGCCGGCGTCGCCCCTCGTCCGTCGACGCCGCCGCGGCTCTGCTGGCGAGCTGCGTTGGAGCTGGCGCGGCTCGGCGCCGCTGGCCGGCCGCAAGCCGGCGCGGCGGCTGGCCGGCGACGCCCCTAACGAGCACACGCGGGCCACCGTCTAATGAGCAGCAGCCGACAATTAGCCGGCCCGGTGTCGCCAGCCGGCCCGGTGGCCGCGGCGGTGTGCTGTCGCGGTCGCGGCCCGTGTCGCATTCTATCCGCCAATTACCCGATGTCCGGCAGGGAGAAGGACGTGTAAGGTCCGTCCGGCGGGGAGAGGGACACTTTATGTTTGTCTGGCAGGGAGAGGGACGTGTAATGTTTGTCCGGCGGGGAGAGGGACATGCAATGTTGGTCCGGCGGGGAGAGGGACGTATAATGTTTGTCGGGCGGAGAGAGGGACGCTGGTCGCCTGGCCCGGTGTGGGTCACTGGCACGGGAGACGGGCGGTCCAGGGTCAGAGCTTCCTGTCTAGCTGCCCCCCCCCCCCCCCCCTCCCGGCACGCGCGCCAGCTCTGTTGCGTTACTGATGCTGACATTTGGTGGAGCGTGAATCCCCGACGGGACTGGATTCCGCGGCCGAAGACCGGCATGGCGCCTCGTCCGCCGCCGCGGCGTGCGCGAGCCCATACTGGCCGCTCACTCCCCGCCATGGCGATGCGCGAGCGACCGAGCGACCTGACCTACACACGGGCCACCGCATGGCGTTTTGGGCTGTGCTGGTGCATGATCTGCGCTCAACACCAGCGGCATGAAGTCACACCTGCACACTTTACAGATCATGTGGCGAGCGCCCGAAAGCCGATGGCAGTGTTCGATTTAGGCAATGCTGATATCGTTCGAATGTCGTGATGCCTGCGATTATGTGGGAATCAAGAGGCTGTCATAATTCAGGATGGTTTGGTTAGGCGGCCAGTCCAACTCGCAGAAATCGGGCGAGTGGGCCGAGACGGCTTGGTGTTAACAGAAGGCACGGCTTTGACGAAAGGTCGTTAAACCTGCAATTGGAAATGTGGGTAGGTTGTAAGACACAGGTCCACTATTTATTTAAGATCGCGCAAAGATACATTCTTGGCCTTTTGAATCTAAACCTTTTCTGCGTCCCCAAGTCACTCGGTATCCGGCCATGAAGTCCAGCGATCACGTGACTATCTAGGTTACGAAACAAATGCAGGCCTTGGCAATGGTTTATTTGATCCAGCCGCATTGACCCAGCCGCGTTAGCGTACCTGCCACGTGGCAGAAATCACTGATTTCATCTTCGCTAAACACTGACGGCTGGAAGGCCGGTGAAAACGTTTGAAACGTATCCGGTATCCGTTTTTCAGGTATCGGTTCGTATGGTGTGCTGACTTGTTCTGTAGCGATATGCTTGTTGCATTTGCAACTGGGCCAGTTTTGGTGGTCTTGCTCGCAGTCTCCCTCGGCGCCCCGCGTAACGGCACCTGCCGGGGAGGTGGAGGGGGAGGCTATAGTCGTGCGTTTTCCGCGGTGGTCCCCAGTCCTTAGGCTCCTCACGTCCGCCGGGGCCTACGCTGGTGTGTGTGTGTGTGGCGGCGGACGCCGGTGTGACCTGGTGGGCGGCGATGGCCGGTGTTTTCGGGAGCCGGGTCCTGGCCCGCTACCGCCCGCCCCTGTCGCTGCCAGGCGTGTGGCGTCGCTGATGGTGACGGATGGCCGGTGTTTTGTCATCTTTAATAAGTGACAGCGGCGTGGGCCCGGCGGCCGGGGCCGGGCCGTCTCCTGGTGACTGCGGCCGCCACGCTCGCCAAATAGCCCGCCGGACCGCCGGCTGGACACGCTCAGCCCGCCCCGTCCCGCCCCCACACATACTACCCCCGGATCCATAAAACAGGTGACACAGCGGCTTTACACCTCGGTGACAAATTATTAATACCTGGAACATGTCGCCTTCGAATGAGGCCCGTAAGTGAGATTGTAGATCAAACCTCGATAAGATCCAGCCAGGAGTCCTGGGAACATACACAAACGTCACAGATGCCTTCGCGCGCTTTTTCTGGAGCATTGACATCGCAGGTGGTAGGGGCCGTATTGCGTTTGGGCCATTCCGAGATATGGATTTGTTAGCGGTGACGACACACAAAGACTACGAACCAACAATGGCGACGACACTACCGGTAGGGGCGGCGTTACGCAGCACAAAGCGTCATTTCGGAATACATCAATCAATCAATCATTCGCTGACAGCGTCTGGTTTTGTTAATTTTTGAGTGTTTGAAATGCGGTATCTGCGCTGTCGTCCGATGACAGCTCTGTGCCCATTCAATTTTCAGATTTGGCGTCAACTTATTCATTTGGGGCTGGCACAATCCGTGTCTGGGTCTGGCACCATCCGTGCCTTGGCTGGCACCATCTGCGTCGTGGTCGGCGCCATTTCTGTCTGGTCCGGTACCACCCGTGTATTGCCACCATCCGGCTCTTGGCTGGCACCATCTGCGTCTTGGTACCATCCGTGCCTTAGTACCATCCGTGTCTTGGCTGGCACCATCTGCGTCGTGGCCGGTGCCATTTCTGTCTGGCCCGATACCATCCGTGTCTTGCCACCATCCGGGTCTTGGCTGGCATCATCCGTGTCTTGGTACCACCCGTGCCTGGGTACCATCGGTGTCTTGGCTGGCACCATCCGTGCATTGACATCTTCGTGCCTTGGCTGGCATCAATCCTGTCTGGGCTGTCAACACCCGCGGCATATTGCTGGGACAGGTAAACGTGGTTTTTGGCGTAGGCATCGGAGCAAGTGACATAGTGAACATATCTGATCGTACCGATACATTGGTTCGAACAAAGGTGGAAGTCCGACTCGCTGTCAGACGCCACTGTCGCCGTGTAGTCTGACCAGCACGATGTTTCCGGCTATCGCACGAGTGTCGTGTCAAAAGGTAGCAAGGTGGGATTGGAACTGTTCTGTTTCCGAACACTCGTAGCGGGTGTGTTTTTAAGACGCATAATCAACTCAGCGGCGTTCAGTAAGGTTTGTTCACTGACATATACTTAGACTTTCAAACGCTAATAACGACACACGCCTGCCAGGACTCTGACAGGGTGAGGCCTTTTAAGCACTGCGCTTGGTGGCTTAGGGGTTCAACACTTATCGCAATTCTGGTTAACGGACCGCTAACCCCGACCGGTGGTCGTCGGTTCGAACCGCCTGAAATGTTTCGACACCTGTGTTTGGGCGCTTTGGTGGCAGTGCTCATTTGTCCTGCGGTCTTTTGTTTTTGTGGTTTCGTGCGGGCTTACGAACTGCGGTCTTGTTCCAGAACCCAATGCTCAATCGACATGACTCAAAGATATAGATAAATGGTTTGAGGTGGTTCTGGAGGCGAGATTATGTTGCAGTGATTGAGCGCACCAGGTCATAAAAGGCATGTTTCAGAACGTGCGCAGATGATGCTACCATCCTCCCATGATTCGGGTGACATTTATCTTTTTGCCGGGCGCCCACTCTGGCGGTGAAAAAAGGATACGAAAGTTGAGCTTGAAAACGGCAGACTATGGGAGGGTTGCTTATACGGCAGCGTACACAGAAAGAGCCTTGCATATGATAACACGCCGCTGCATCGCTGGTACCATATACACCGTCAACTATCGGCTATTCTTGTAGGAGTACGTTTTGTTTTGCATTGCATCGTGTGCTGAGAAGCCGACGCCAAGTACAAAAAGATGGTAGATAGGCGGAGTCGACGGAATAACAGCAGTGAATGTTCAGGCGCTCAACAATGCCGCGTGGTCCTGGTGTTCTCGAAGTAAAACGACGCCGCGTGGTCCTGGTGTCGTCGAGGTGAAACGATGCCGCGTGGTCCTGATGTTGTCGAGGTAAAACGATGCCGCGTGGTCCTGGTGTTGTCGAAGTAAAAGCCGACACACGGGATGTCGGCATACACGTGGCTCGGTCCGCTGTCTCATCGACGCTGACTGTGTGATAGATGAAAATAGATTTGGGTCCAATGTCACGCTTTAATGCCACGTCTTATACGCTGTCCGGGATGGTGTTGACAAAATGGGATGTCAAGACTAGTTTTGTGCTGACGGTAAAAGTCGCTGTTTCGCAATTGACGGGTTCAGTGTTAGTTACCAAGCTCGCGATCAAAGGCGCAGACGTGTTTGCCATTTGAAGAGCGGCGACGTAGGGAACCTTCCCGCCGTAGGTGGACCGGGCGGACGTAGGTGACGAATCTGCCGACGAATTTCCGCGTGGTCGACGTACGAATGTCATGCGATGTAATCTAGGATGGTACATCATCACCCGAGTGAGTTGACAAGCGTTCCCGCTTGTGCCCCGGACTTGAGAGGGGCACACACACAAACGTATTCCCATTGCGCGGCACGCAAGCGGAGCGGTATGGGCGGAGCTCAGGCTGGAAAGGAGCGTCGCTCGCATGCCGGGATCCGGGTGTGAGGAGAGCGCGCCGTGGACATGGTGTGTGCGGCTTGGACGGCCGGTGTCGTGACTACCGGGCTGTCCCGGTGGTACAGCGATGGGTAGTGGGAAAGAACCCTAACCAGTGTCCTTCACCAGCTGTTGACAGCTGCGCCCCGCCTTCGTCAAAGGCCGGCGTCCCGTCCTGGTCCCGTCCCGTCCCGGTCCCGTCCCGTCCCGGTCCCGTCCCGGTCCCGTCCCGTCCCGGTCCCGTCCCGTCCCGGTCCCGTCCCGTCCCGGTTCCATCCCGTCCCGGTCCCGTCCCGTCCCGTCCCGGTCCCGTCCCGTCCCGTCCCGTCCCGTCCCGTCCCGTCCCGTCCCGTCCCGTCCCGTCCGGGTCCGTCTGGCTCCGTCCGGGTCCGTCCCGTCCCGCCGCGGTCCGGGCGGCAGCCGTGCCGGGGCCGGCGGCAGGGCTGCAGAGGCGGCGACGGATCGTCGGCCCGCCAGCAGTGGGCACCAATGGTGGCTGGCCGGCCCCACGGCCAGCATGGCCGCGCCGCTATTAATGCGCTATCAGACAGCGATTACCGGCCGTCAAATGGACAAAATGGCGGACGCCCAGTGCTCGGCCGCGCCGCGTGGCTGGGTCGTGGGGACTGCGCGAGCGTGGCTGGGTCGCGGAGGACTGCGCGAACGTGGCTGGGTCGCGGGGGACTGCACGGGCGTGACTGGGTCGCGGACGACTGTACGGGCGCGACTGGGTCGCGGAGGACTGCACGGGTGTCACTGGGTCGCGGAGGGCTGTGCGGGCGTGACTGGGTCGCGGAAGACTGCACGGGCGTCACTGGGTCGCGGAGGACTGTGCGGGCGTCACTGGGTCGCGGGGGACTGCGCGGGCGTGGCTGGGTCACGGGGGACTGCGCAGGCGTGGCTGGGTCGCGGAGGACTGCGCAGGCGTGATTGAGTCGCGGAGGACTGCGCGGGGCGTGGCTGGGTCCCGGGGACTGCGTGGGCGTGGCTGTGTCGCGGAGGACTGCGCAGGCGTGGCTGGGTCGCGGGGACTGCGCGGACGTGGCTGGGTCGCGGAGGACTGCGCAGGTGTGGCTGGGTCGCGGGGGACCGCGCAGGCGTGGCTGAGTCGCGGAGGACGGCGTAGGTGTGGCTGGTGAGGCGGCTGGTCGGGCTGTGGCGCATCGCGACACCGGACCGGCCGCGTCTGTTCCTCACTGCTCTTTGTTTTGGAAAGGCAAGCGGGGTGGGTGTCGCCCCTCCATGGTCGGCATGGCCCGTCCCTTAGCCTACCGGCTTTAGTACGAGCTAGCCATTATAGAGGTCTGGCCCTAGTATTCCAGGAAATGCCCGCATTCCAGTTGCATCCGTGAGGTCGCTCTTGATCGTTTGAGATCGGAGAGAAGGCACGTGTTAACGGGGATGTTGATTTACGTGAGCCGACATTGTCTTAGGTGGTCTGGTTTTCTGCGCTCGTTTGCGCGCAAGAAGGAAGCCAAGTTGAGTTTTAGCGGGCGTGCTCCCTCGCCGTGTGGGGATTTCTGAAGACGCGTGTTGACTGAGCGCGGGCAGCAAGAAAGGGCACGGGCCCGGCCGCGACAAATAGGAGGGCCATTGTGGATGCATAAGCGCGATCTGCTCGCGGCACGGACCGCACCTAGCTGGTTCCGGAATCGGGGGAGGAGGACGGCTGGATAGTGGAGGAAGACTGGCAGGCCAGCGCAAGCGCAGCGAACGCCCGCCGGCCGACCGGTCGACCGGGCCGGAATGCCTGGCGACGCCGTCGGCACTCCAGCCGCTCTCCGACCCGGGCCGGCCGAGACAAATGACAAAACCGCCCGCCCGATAACTCATGCGTAATGCGGCCGTAATGACAAGATTGGCGGTGGGAGTCGGGCCGTGGCGGCCGGAGCCGGAGCCGGAGCCGGAGCCGGAGCCGGAACCGGAGCCGGAGCCGGAGCGAGGGCCGGAGCTGAAGCCAGGGTGACCAACTAAAACAGGAGATGCGCGCCGGCCGGCCGGCGGGCGGCGGCCGGTGGCCCGTCCGGCCCGTCGGGCGCGCTCCCATGCCATTAGACGGCCGGCCATTGTGGCAGGCCGTGCCAATTACGGCCGCACGCTCAATCATTGTCATTGGACTGGGAAAGAATGTCATTTGGCCGGCCAGCATCGATCCGCCGGCGCGGCCAAATCGTCGGAAATGATAGCGTGGTTGTTACCAAATGTATCATTATCAGAGCCATGAGATCGAAAACAAAATTAGCCGCCGGCGCGCCGTCGAGAATCCCGCCGAGAAAAAGCGCGCGCCGGCCCGCGGCTGCCGCCCGCTGGCGCGCGCGCAATTATACTTTTTTAGCTGCCTAAGAACGTGTTATCGCCGTGTTCGGCACGCATTGTCGGTGGGCTTGCGTTTTTTACTGGGACCGGTGCTGAGCGGTATGGGCGGCGCGGACCGAGCCGTGCCGCCGCTGCTGGACCGGACCGAGCCGTGCCACCGCTGCTGGGACCGGACCGAGCGGTGCCGCCGCTGCCGTGTAGACGTCCGTGCTCGTCACTGGGCCGTGGTCGGCCGGCCGTGACAGTGACAGTGATGGTGAAGGATGGCCCGCTGACGGTCGCCGGTCAGGGCAGGCTCCGAGGCTCCAGCCAGCGCGCCCGCCGGCCGGTGCGGCGCAGCTGAAGGATGGTCCGCTGGCGGTCGCCGGTCAGGGCAGGCTCCGAGGCTCCAGCCAGCGCCCGCCGGCCGGTGCGGCGCAGCTGATGACCTCCGGTACCGGCGTGGCGTCAGGCAGAAGGAGGGGGGGGGGGGGGGGGCGCTGTGACTCCGCGACACTGATTTCAACGGCCGCGTACGAGCCCGCCTGGGTCTTTGGCGCCAGCGACCCGTCCTTTGATGCTTCAGGCCTGGGAACATTTTAGTATGGATGTTCCAGAGAGCTGGGTACACTTTCAAGTCATCATGATGTATCTTGGGGCACACAAGTAAGGACCCAAGCAACTTTAGCATTGGCCGAAGATCGCTATTGTCCCAGGGCATTTGCCCATATTGCCTCCCCCCCCCCCCCCCCCCCACACACACGCTGGATCCGCCCCTATCGTTCCTCATTTTGTGCAACCGCACGTTATAGAGAGACACCGGTGATCTCAGTGGGTACACTGTGCGCGATGGGACAATGCAACGGGTGTTGTAAGAACTTGGAACCGGGGTAGGGCCGCGACGTATTTTGTAGAATGGATGGGTGTAGTATTGAGCTGGAGCACGGGTGTGCCAAATACATCGAAGCTAGGGGACGGGATCCGATTCCCCGCGGTGCCCGCTCTTTACACCAGGGTGAGAGGCAGGCGACGCCACATAGCCTGAGCAGCTGAGTGCGTCGTAAAGTCCCAATGACGACAACGGTGGCACCGCTCTTGTGACGCCGCGGACAGCGCCATCCTGATTGATCGTACATGCGTGACGTTGATTCCCATACGTCTCCTCTATCGACACCGCCGCGTCCGCCTCTCGCTGGGGCTTGGAGCTTTGACCCCGTGACCACGCGTCTGTCCCGGTTGCGGCGGGAGCTCTGGTCTGCTCGAGAGTCGCTAAGGCCCCGTCCCTTGTCCCGCAGTCAGCTGGAGAAGATCATCGTGGCCGGCTACAAGGCGCTGCAGCTGCAGTACTTCTTCACCTGCGGTCCGGACGAGGTCAAGGCCTGGACCATCCAGGTGAGTCCGGCGGCCGCGGCGGCTCGCCCGCTCCACCGGTCGGGAACTGTTCAGAGACGCAGTCAGTCCCCGCTGGTCCATCTCTGTTCAGTGACGCTGTCAGTCCCCGCTGGTCCCCCTCTGTCCAGTGACACGGTCAGTCCCCGCTGGTCCCCGTCTGTCCAGTGACGCGGTCAGTTCCTGCTGGTCCCCCTCTGTCCAGTGACGCGGTCAGTTCCTGCTGGCCCGCCTCTTTCCGTGCGCTCCGTCTCACCCCGTCCGTGCGGTTTGTCTCACCCCGTCCGCGCGCTTCGTCTCACCCCGTCCGTGCGCTCCGTCGCACTCCGTCCGTGCGCTCCGTCTCACCCCGTCCGCGCGCGCACGCATGGCGCACGGCTTGCATTTTAAGCGTGCCGGTACCAGGCCCGACAAAGGCTTGATGAATTTAAACCGCCTCAAACGCCGTGCACGCATTAGCATAAGAAGCGCAGGGGGACAGGGCGGCGGCCAATTTGGCGCGTGCGGCGCGGCGCCGTCGGTCGCGCCCATTCAGTGTTGCCGCTTGTGAAATTGCGCCGGCGCTGCGGCACGTGACATGACGCGAACCGGTGGGACGGTCGGTCAGGCGCGCGGACGACGCGCCGGCGCGGTGGCCGGGAGCCGACGGGGTCATCCGGCGGCGGGTCGGGTCGGGTCGGGTCGGGTCGGGTCGGCGCTGGCGGGCGCCGGACGGGCGTCGGTGGCAGGTTGGTCTGGGGTGGCAGGCCCAGACCGGGACGGCCAAGGCAGCGTGGCATGACCGTGTGCCTTTTACCTAGAGCAAGGATAGTCGGTTTGGTCCTAATTGTATTGGTTATTTGACTTTGCGTTGGGGGAAAAGTTCGCCGGTTGGAGCCACTTCCGCCTCGTATCTGTGCTGACACGCTCCGAGTGACCCCGGGTTTGTGAAGCTTGAAGTAGGAGGTATAGGCATGTGCAGAAAACTCTTACAAAATCATGACGAAAATGTCACGTCCATAGACAGCCATGCAGTGTTAAACTTGACGCGAATGGAGACTGCGCTGTATGACCGTGTCGTGGAGGCGCCCTACAGCCTCCTGGATAGAGACTGTCGTTGGCCGCTGGCCCGTTGTCCCAAGTACGCCGGCTGATGTTAGCCGTGAGACGAACGGTGGTGTCGGCAACATCCGATGTCGACGGTGTTTTGCTTGTGCGAATGTGACACTGGTGAGACTCCTGCGGCGGGCCCTCCTTCAGCATGGCACTGAGCATCTCGCCTGTCAGTGACCTGGTGACTGACAGCTGTGACTGGTGACTGACAGCAGTGTCAGTGACCTGGCCCTGCCAGCCTTGGGATCAGGTGACTTGCGTTATAGCCTCAAACAGCTCAAAACCTCTGGTATTTGTTTTGGGATAGCAGTTTGGGCGACCCGCGTGTACCCAACTGACGGCGACTTTCCCTAGCTCCGCACGTGGTGTCCACATCAACAATGCTTCCGCCCCGGCCATCCCGTGGCGCTCACCGTGCAGGGCGCAGCTACCCACGAACGGAACCCACATTACCCACCGGGCTGGTGCAAACGGCTAAACTCGTGGGCGGCGGCAGGCGCCTCCGAGTCAGTTGATGGCGTCTGGCATGTATGGCCCCTCGATAAGCTGGGACAGGTTCGTGGAAGAAGCCACTGGGTTAATTAGTGGCTGCCGGGTCGTTCCCAAACTGTGAGTGGGGTCCTATCGTGTACATGTGACCTGCGGCATTGTGCAAAGCTCGATCTTAAGCTTCATGTCTTACTTTTCTGTACGGACGGCTTTTCGAACGGTGGCGTTCATGTAACACGCTTTTTGTATGCGGATGACTGGCAGTTTATGGACTGAAAGTCCGCGGAGCAGCCCGAAGTCTGGCCAGCACCCGCTCTTGCCCCTGTGGTTTTTTTTTGTATCTGCTTAACCAGAATGGTGTCGATATCAATCTGAGGATAGCCGTACGCCTTCGGTTCGGGTGTTGCCGCCGAAGGGCTCGAGCAATCACCACCCTTTTCGGTGAGCTGTCTGGCGCCCCCGTCAGCGTCTGGGGGCGGTCCTTACCCGGCCGTCACACCTTATGTGACGGCCGGTAAGTACTTTCCTTTAAAACATTTTAGCTGACCGTTTTTCTGTGTCCGTGTTGGGAACGCGACCTTTGAGAGGCATCTTCAAGCTAACGGTGTTCCCCAAGGCGGCGTTCTCAGCGTAGCTTTTTTCGCCGTTATGATTAACATCGAGATTGGGATGGCGTAGCCTGTAGATCGTAACCTTTTTGTTGATGATTTCACCATTTGGACAAGCGCAGCAAGACCATCATCGAGGAAGCGCCAACTTCAGTTGGCTGTTGACTCTGTTGAGAAGTGGGGAAACATGAACGGGTTCAGGTTTGCAAGTAACAGGACTGTAGCTAGGGATTTTTTGTCGTAGCCGGCAATGCGGTGACCTGTCTATCCATGTGCATGGGCAATGCATTCCAACTGAGCCTGTAGCTAGATACCTTGGGTATACTTTGAACGTCGACTAAGATATAAGGTACATCTTAGACGAAAGCTGAAAACTGTTTTAAATCTTTGAACGAACTGACATGTGTTTCGCGCACGTTGTATGGAGGAGATCGGAGCACGCTTTTGCTGTTGTATTGGGCAATCATACGCTCTAAGCTTGACTATGTATGTTTTATTTATGACGACGCGTGGTAATTTACCAAGCGCATCAGTGACGCCGTCCATCACACCGCTGTACGTGCCATCGCAGGGACGTTCCGCGATCTCCTACCCAAAGCCTCCTGGTAGTATCACACGAGCTGCCTTTGTCAGCGAGGAGGATGTGCGGCATGCTTTAAGCTGCCTCAGTTCCCGTCGTATCTCGCATATAACGCAGTTTTTCCGCGGCCTACCGTGCCTTTTGTTCGCCATGCACCTCGGGCGCATGCTGTGACGTTTGGCTCCCGGATACAAGCCTTACTGCGGGAAAACGACATTCCCATTCAGAGCGTGGAGCGAGCATGTCATCTGTGCACTTCTTCCTGACATTTGATCTCGCCTTCAACAGACACATCTCTGCCCGAAGTGAAAAAAAAAGTTCTACCAGATAGGATGAGGTCACGCTGGTGGTGATGTGACGATGTGTGCCAGCTTAGAATCGTTTACATTTGTAAGCGATGCCTGATGCGCGATGTGCGATGCCTGTTCAATTGAAATCGTTTGCATGCACACATATGTTCGCGTATTGTAATCCGTAGAAAGGCACTGTATCGTGGTAATGGCTGGCAACCGCTCTTTGTTCAATCCCATGCATGTTGGTGTCCTGTAAAAATTGTGGCTTGCTGCTGAAAAAAACGAAAAATCGAGTATGATCATCGGCAGGCAATTTTGAACTCACTTCTGCCATTACTTTGATAAAAGCATGTCGCCGAAACAGCAACCCATGTATATCTGCATTCTGCTGGTTTTTCTCCGAGCAATTAGGCTGTTACTACCGCCTTATCTATGTTCGTTTGTTTGCTCGCGCAAGGTGAGGCGAGAGGAGGTGATCCTTGCCCACGTGTGCCCAACTACGTACCGGACGCGCGTCCGCAACCCACGGCTTTATGTTGGAGGGAGCGATAAACTGATCTGCTATCGGTGTGGTGCTGTCCTTGCTCTTCGCCATGTGCTTATATCCGCGTATATCCGTGTCCGTGCGTGTCCGCGCCTCGTGGAAGAACGTCAACGTTACTTTGGACAGCATGACTGGCCTCTGACGCTCTGTGATATTCTGAGAGACAGCTCACAAGTTCTTGAATCTTAGCAGGTTTTATTGTTTCTCAAACACACCAACTGCGGGGCTATTTACGCGGTCCATTATTTGCGTAAAACAAAATTCGTTATGGGCGCCAAATGACAACCGCAGTCGGCTCGCCCGTAAACCCCAATAAACAACGACAAAACGTAAGGTGCAGACCGCCCTGTAAGCCCAGGCTGGCTGTCTCCCCGCGGGGTGCCGGGATTGCCGCTGGTCAGGTTCTCCAAACGTCATCTCATCTCCATCTCCAAGGTCATCTCCAAACGCTCACTGCGTGAGCGTTTGGAGATGGCCTTGTTGGTGTTACACAGAAACTCACGCTGCTGAAAGGTCCCCAGGGCAGGTCATGTCGAAGTGAGGATAGTGGCAGGCAGGGCACGGTATTGCCATGTCATTTCTCCATAATTTCTGAGCCTTGCTGGTTGTCTGTGAAGATAATTGTAGGTACCGACTTGACGTTGTGGGCGGGTGTTTCACTACATGAAGTCCGCTGCACTACTGTCACTACATCGCTACGGCGAGGTCGCTTGCTGGCCTGGAGGAGACCGTTCTAGAAAAAAACGCGCTTTGTGACTACGCTGCTTTTGCATTACTCGCCTTACTTTGTTGCCATATACTACTTCAAAACCCTTCACGATAGATAACAGTCCTTCAACGTCATTAGACGTCGTATGGTGTTGCGTTTGTATTCTGTTGTACAGGAAATATATATTTCATCCTGCTATATGGTATATGTCGTTTTCTTTTCAATTGTGATAGTGAGTGCTATTGAGCTTAACGCGAAGATGGCGTCAGCGCGCCCATTTCAGCGCTGTAGCAGCGACCTCCGCCGACGCCTCGGTAGTCTGGTGTCAAACCGCACCTGTCGCAGGCGCATCCGTGGCGACCTCCGCCGACGCCTCGGTAGTCTGGTGTCAAACTGCACCTGTCGCAGGCGCATCCGTGGCGACCTCCGCCGATGCCTCGGTAGTCTGGTGTCAAACCGCACCTGTCGCAGGCGCATCCGTGGCGACCTCCGCCGATGCCTCGGTAGTCTGGTGTCAAACCGCACCTGTCGTAGGCGCATCCGTGGCGACCTCCGCCGATGCCTCGGTAGTCTGGTGTCAAACCGCACCTGTCGCAGGCGCATCCGTGGCGACCCTCCGCCGATGCCTCGGTAGTCTGGTGTCAAACCGTACCTGTCTCAGGCGCATCCGTGGCGGCCTCCGCCAGTGCCTCGGTAGTCTGGCGTCAAACCGCACCTGTCCCGGGCGCATCCGTGGCGACCTCCGCCGATACCTCGGTAGTCTGGTGTCAAACCGCACCTGCCGCAGGCGCATGCGTGGCGACCTCCGCCGATACCTTGGTAGTCTGGTGTCAAACCGTACTTGTCGGAGGCGCATCTATGGCGACCGTTTCACAGCCGTCGCTGACGAGAACGCGGACAGCGCGCCGTTCTGTCAGTGTTGTTGAGAGGCTGGAAATCCAAGTCGAGGGCCTGCTGTTGGTGATGAGAATCGCAGAATGACATGCGTTTAGTAGTGTGTCTTGCTGTCAAAAGTTGCTTCATCGATGGTGTGGCGACAAGTAGTAATGGGCGGATCTGTGCTGACGTGTTCAGGGCTGAACACGGAAAACCAGTCTCCTGGCAGTCTTGCCGGCACGACTGTATTGGCGGTTATACTTTGCCACTTTTGCCGCTTCCTTTCTAAGCTTCTATCGTTCGTGCAGTGTGTTGCCGTTGACAACATCTCACGGTCGGTATTTTTACCCCATGAAGCCCGTCAGTTGAGTTAGCTATTGGATTTCAAGAGCGTGTCAGTTGCAATGGCTATTTGCGCCCAAAGCCCGTCAGTTCAAGCCGTGCCGTAATGGTCATGATTTTCAAGCAGGTCATGCGATGCACCATACCAGGTGATGTTCACGGAGTGAGACTTCTGTGACATGGTTGGCATATTTCAAGCGCCAGACAAATGCGGTGTTTTTTTCCGCGGCTGGCTTATCTCCTGGCGTGGCATTGGCGTGACCTGTGCCGTCTGAACCTTGTCCTCAGGCCGGGACCAAGGCGCCCCAGGCTGCTGGCCGGATTCACACAGACTTCGAGAAGGGTTTCATCATGGCCGAGGTGATGAAGTACAAGGACTTCCACGAGCTAGGGTCGGAAGCTGCCGTCAAGGTAAGTGGTGTCGATCGCAAATTGCGGGGAAGTGTTCGGATTTCTACTCCGTTTATCCTGCGACGCTGGCGGGGGGTCACGAGGAGAGGCCCAGTACGGCTACAATCTGGACAATGCAATGTGGCGCTCATTAGCCCGGGCGCTACGAGAACAGCTGCGCCACAGACGTGTGGCGGAACTTGCTGAAACTTCTAATTCTGACGCTTGAGTAAAGGTGGCGCAGGCATAATCAGGCTACAACAACCCGTCCTGAGGTGAGCGTACATCGGGACAGGGAAAAGGAACGTAGTTCGCCATTGCATTGTATTATATTGCACGGCTGGGACATGTCAGACAATATATATATATATATATATATATATATATATATATATATATTGTCTGACGATATATATGTCTGATATAGGCTATATATCCTGTTTGCACGGAGATCGCGCAAATGTGCATGGCTTCCTAGCCCTCTGATGTTAGCTGGAAGGTTTTGCAGGTACGCCTGTTGGGTGGTGGGGGCCACCACAAAGGCCTGTAACTAAGTATAGTGCAAGGATATTTTCACCATTGCTGCAGGAAAATTGATATGACTGCTTTATTTTACTGAATAGCAATGGGTAGTTATAGGTCATGCGACAGAAAATGTCACTCGGTTAACGGCGTGAGATCAAACAATGAAGTCGCGGGTGTAGTCAAACCGGAATATTGCGAGGTATTTGCGAGCGCATGTAATGTGTTCGAAAATTGCATTTCGTATGACTCACAATACCATGGGTGAGCTTAACGTTCTGGTTTGCGCAATACCAAAACCCAAGTTCATGCCGTTGCACATCTGTTTAAAAAGTGTTCTGACTGACATTGGACCCAGGATTGTTGTATGTTATTTTTTGGGGGAGAGGGGTTTTATGTATATTCCTAAAACGTCACGTCATTCAGCAAGCACTTAAGCGTGTAAGATTTATTGTTGCCTGAAAACTAGATGAGATCAACTACTCATGATGTTCAGCCCGTCGGAAACCTCCATATTTGTTTATTGTGATGATGTTACCGATTGGTAAAACATCTGTTTGGATGAGCTTTGTCCTGCCTGACCTCTTATAACGTAGGTGATGAATGGCCACTGATACTACAAACGCGTAACGTACGTTCGACGCCAAGCCTGTCGATGTTGTTTGCAGACCTGCCATTCACCAGTCTGTGGCCATATCATTGATCGTTAGTCGGCCAGCTGTGCGGTGGGAGATGGGCAACGGGCATGCGGCAGCAGCGAATAATACAGAGCAAACATATGCAACGATACAACAACCAAACAACAACAAAAAACACGCAAACAGTGTGCTCGGAAGATCTGTTTTGCTCTTGGGGCATTTTGCGTATCAAACTTCCCATCAAAAGGCTTGTGATGATGCGTGCTTTATATCTTAGACGGGCATAGCGAGCGCAGAACGCTTTCTATGAACCCCACTTCGTGAGAATCGTAAAGACTAAAACGGAAAATGGTCCCCAACTAATTTTCCGAGCGCGCTCTGGGTCTAAGTTGCGGCTTTTCGCGTCTCGCCGGACAAGTGACGTCATTCGTCACTGTCTTCAGTGAGCTTTGTCCTCGGTGCACCGTGGGCAAGTGGCGCTGTTCGTCACTGTCTGCGGTGAGCTTTGTCCCCAGTGCACTGGAACAGCGCACTCAGCCTGCCGCCTTCTTAGTGCGAGCCTTGGAAAAGAGCGAAAGCCTTCAAAAGCTTTATAGCCTCATGAGGCGACGGCTACGAGCTCACGCTACGAAGTGCTCGTCATTTCGTATTTGCTCCTCGCAAGTCCTTCAACAGACAACCCGCCGACAGAACTCAGGGAAAATGGCGTCATGCTGGGATATGTTGAGATCCAGGGTGTCGGAGTCCTCTGGGTCACGCAAAGGGTGCGTGTTCTGTGGGTGGTTCAGCTTCAGTGTTCAGGTTCAGCCACTCGTGTGTTCTGATAAATCCAAAAACTGCCGGCCATGTCGGCTGGCTGTGACGTCACCCGACCGGTACCAGAACACGCGTCAGCGTTGGCATGGGAGCTGATTACCAAAGCGCTTTGTTTCATAGAACGTGGTGAGAGGTCCTTTTGCCGCACCGCAACAGATTCCTGGACCTGTCTTTTGACTCGGAGATCTTTGATCTTTTATGTTTGACTCATAGACCTTTGATGTTTGGTGTATCTTTGATCTATACTGTTTCGTTTTACAGGAACACGTCTAACAACTTGATAGGAAGGAAAGCAAATCACCTTGTGCTCAATACGTGGTCACGATGTAATCGCAACGTGTTGGCTGGCGTGGCTGCCAAGCGAGCCGCGCTGGCTCCACGTACACATTCTTTGCCAATCCATGCCGGAGACCTATACCCGGTAATTACGACCTAGCTGCACAACAAATGAGAGCGGTGTTCGGATGGGGCGGGTAGCAGCAGGCTCAGAGCGATAAAACATAAAAAACATAAAAGTCTGGGCCTGTGATCATTTCGCTCCCGCCAAGCTGGCCAGAAGGAGGTGTCGCTGTATAATGCGGATCGGGCGTACGTGCGCGACCCATGGCTGCCAGTCGCGTGGTGCCGTTAGGTCTCTGTCATCTAGGGAAATAGGTGTCACTCGTTGCCACGAACACAGCTCGAAACGCGGTGTTTTGACGAGACAATCAATGTTGGCCTGTTGACGTCGTTTATCCGGCATCTCATGGTATATTGGATGAAGAAAGAATTGTGTATTATCAGTATAACGACTTCAGACTCATAGTGTCGAAAAACCACTACCTCAATACCCTTCTTGCCCATGCCAAGAAAACAACGCGTTTGGGGCATGCATTGTTCGCCGCCGCCAACGCTCCAAGAAAACCAAGAAAGAAGTGACTCTCCTCTCTACATGTGACACCTAAGAACTGACGTGAATCTTTTTGGAGGTGGAGGAGGTGAGGGGCCCCCTCTGCCTGTCCTCCCGGCCGCCGCCGCCGCCGGCCCTGACAGTCGTCGATACCGTTATCCCTTCGTCTTTGGTGTGTGAGACTACCGTTTGAGTTTTCGGCCGCACCGTGCTGAATTAAAACAGATAGCCACAGCAGACGCCGCTTCGATTTGTAAAGGAAGTCCTCTAAAATCGAATAGGCCATAGCAGTTCTCTTAATGCACCATAATGCAGTTATTCGACGAGGGCTGTCGTGGTGAGTGGCCCCACGACGGTGAATCAGATCCTCAACAAGCCGCCTGCCAGATGCATGCCCGTTTTCAGTGTACCATTCACCGTTCGCCATGTTGTTCGCACATATGCAGAGTTTATCGAAGACCGCCTTTTTCATTTCGGTCGAAACGCTCCGCGTCTTGCCTTTTTGCTATGCTTGACAACGGCTCTCACGGGGTACAGGCTACAGGTCAGCTGTTCATTAAACGGTTCATTTTTAGTTGACATAGGATTTTCAGCCATCTGCAAGCGATGGTAAGCACTTAGCAGTTATGTGCGCAAAATGACCATCGCAGTCAGCGCTCCCTAGAACACCAATCATCATCATCATTATCGTCATAATCTTACTCATCATCGTCATCATCATTATCATTGTCGACGACGACGACGACGACGACGACGACGACAACGGCGATGACGACGACGTCGTCGTCATGAGACGCAATAATATAGGATCAATTGAACGATCAACTTGGTGAATCTTGAACTAAATAGTTGACTGAACGGTTCGACTGGCGAATCCATAATCGCTGAAAGAGCTCTTGCCAATCCATTAGTCAAACGCTTTTTTATTCATTACAACTGCAATGGTGGTAAATGAACACGATAACACGACCACTTACAATAGCGTGATGAGCCAGAGGGAAAAGGGTATCTATCCAACGCTCTCTCCTCCTTTGCGATTCGTCGCTTCAGCGCGCCACGGGCAGCGAGTACCGTAATTCAAAGTTACTACCTTACCCACTAGATGTCAGGGCCGTCGGCCACCAGTCGCCGTCGCGCGCAGTCGGCGGTGGCGCACAGCAGCTCACCGTCGGCGTCGATGAAGCCGCGCCCAACTAGCGACGTGCCGCACGTGGCGCACGTGAAGCAGGCGTTGTGCCAGCTGCGCTCCTGGAAGACGCTGTATCGGGTGCCCGGCTCGCGTGCGATAGGGCCGCGGCACTTGTCACAGCGCTTGGCGAAGAGCCGAGTGTAGCAGTCTGCGCAGTAGGGCCGCTGCTGGCGGCTGCGGAACTTGTGGCCGGCCAGCGGCACGTCGCAGCTGGCGCAGACAAAACACTCGCGGTGCCACGTGTCGCCCTGGTACGTGACGCCCAGACTGGTGATGGTGCCGTCGCAGCGGCGGCAGCGCGCCGCGAACGTCTCCTCGTAGCAGCGCGGGCAGTAGAGCCGCTGCTCTTTGGGCAGGAAGGTGCGCGCGCCCAGCGGCACGTGACAGACGCAGCACACGAAGCAGGCCTGGTGCCACTGGAGCGCCTTGTAGGCCACCTGCGGCTGGCCGGGGGCGATGGGCCGGCCACAGCGGTCGCAGCCGGGCGCCCCCTGGCTGCCCAGGCAGCCGGCGCACTGGGCCTGGCCGGCGCGCACCGCGAACGGCCGGCCCTCGAGCGGCGCCGCGCACGTGGCGCACGCAAAGCAGGCGGCGTGCCAGTGGCGGCCGGCGTGCGAGAGCTGGCGGCAGCCGAGCGCGATGGGCCGCTGGCAGGCGTGGCAGACGGGCGCGCCCGCCTCGCTGTAGCAGGGCAGACAGAGCGGGGTCTGGTGCCGGAGCGCGAACTGGCGGCCGGACAGCGGCGCCTCGCACCGCTCGCACACCAGGTGCTCGCTGTGCCAGCTGAGGCCGAGCGCGCGCACGTACTGGCCGGCGAACACGAGCTCATCGCAGGCGGCGCAGCGCGGCCGCAGGCGGTCGGCGTGGTGGCGCGGGCAGAGCAGCCGGCCGGCCAGCTCGCAGAAGACGAGGTCGGCCAGTGGCTGGTCGCAGTCGCCGCAGACGAAGCAGGCCGGGTGCCAGGCGGCGCCGGGCAGGCGCGCGGCCGTGACGGCCAGCTGGCCGGCCGGCAGCGGCTGGCGGCACTGGTGGCAGGCGGCGGCGGCCGGCAGCCGCATCACCGCGCCGGCCTCCAGCGCCAACCGGCGTCGCGACGCCGACCACTCGGTGAACGCGGCCCGCTCCGGGCCCGAGACGTGCCGGCAGCAGGCCAGCGACAGGTCCTGCGCCGGCAGCTGGCGCAGCAGGCGGCGTGTGCGCTCCCGCTGGCCGGGCGAGCGCAGCAGCGGCCTCCGACCCTCCGGCAGCTGCTGCATGTACTCGGCTGCAGCGCCCTCGGGCAGGCCGGCCGGCAGCCAGGCATAGCCGGCGCGCAGGGCGTGTTCGGACGGCTCGGGGCCGTCCGGCGAGCAGGTGTCCTCCGGACCGCCGCCCCCGGGGTTGGCAGCGGCTGGCTCCGGTGCGGCGCCGGCCGGCAGCACGTCCGCCGCCGCGCCGCCGCCACCGGGCTCCCAGCGACGGCGCGCCGCCTCGGCAGCGCGCAGCTCGGCCCGCACGGCGCGCCACTGATCGGCGGCCGAGTCGCCGGCGCGGCAGGCGGCGCAGCGGCGACGATGGCGCAGCTGGTGCGTCGAGCTGGCCGCCGTCTCCGTCACCGTGTCGTGCGGCGGCTCGGTGGCCGGCGGCGGGAACTCGGCGCACTCCTCGAACGGACAAGGGCTGCGCGGCGACGCCAACTCTTGCGTGGCGCGTCGCTCCGGGCTGCAGGCGAGCGGCGCGCGGCCCGGGCTCGGGCTGGACACTCGCTTCGGCAGGCGAACGGCATCGTCGACCGGCGACGGCTTGTGACGCACGCTGTCGGCTCGCCGCACCAGCTGGACCGGCGACCGGGCTACCTCAGCGGACCGCCACCGGATCCGCTTCTCCGTCTTCGGTTTTGCCGTTGTCGATGTTCCTCCGTCAAAGCCGTCCGTGTTGGGGATCTTGGTCACATCTTTCGCAGCAGCGTCTGTAGGTCTGCTCTTGAGTACTGATCTCTTGCCAACCATCTTCTTCGTTATGAGTAAGAAAGCCTTGATTCGAACGGACAGTCCTCACCACCGCCACCACTGCCAGTCCTATACCTGGTTGGAGGCGGTTTGTGACTTCGGCCGCCCCGATTGGCGCGAGCACTGGACGCGGCTCCTCCCGTGCGGCCGACAGTCGCCGCCGCCTCAATTGCGGCCGACTGGTGCGTAGGCAGCTGGTGGTGCACGCACCGCTGGTGCGTACCGTCGCCGACTGTGGCACCGCGGAGGCAGCGGCTCTCTCAGCTGGGCCTGGTGCGGTCCGAAGGCGGGTCAGACACGCGGCTCCCAGCTGCCGGGCGGGCGGTGCGCGCGCCCCGAGCCGGCCGCGCCGAGTGAAGCCTCCGCCGCCGCCGCCGCCGCGGCCGACGGGCCGCTGGCGCCGCGGCCGACGCCGGGTCGCCCGCCCTTGGCTCTCCACCGTGGGCCACGTCGCTGGCCGTGTCCGGTCACCAGCCGTCTGCCAGCCACCTGACGTCGGTGCGGCCTGCGAACCGCTGTCGCGCGGCCATTACCTCTCTCCATTGGTCTGATTGCACGCTCTTGAAGGTGAGGTGATTTGTCACTTAAAAACATGTTGTTGTCTTAAAAACATGTGTGTTTTACTCAACCCACACAGAGATCAAATTGACCTGGAGTCGGTGTCGCTAGCGACCTCGGCGGGGCGGGCGGCGCCGTGACCCCGGTCTGACACGCGCTCGCCGTCTGGCCACTGATCAGGACCGATGGCTGACGCGCCGGGCTCGGGCCGGGGGTGTTTGTATTGGCGGAGAGGCCGGGAGCCGGCCGGCCGCTGCTGACGCACCATCTCCGGTCTGGCCACCTGAATCACGGCCTCTGACTGACCCGACCCCGCGCCGGCTCCGGCCGCCCCACTGCCCGGCGGAAGGGCGCGCCCGGCCGCGGGAGCACTGAGGACGGTCTGGTCAGGAGAGCACTGAGGACGGCCGGGTCAGGAGAGCACCGAGGACAGTCTGGTCAGGGGAGCACTGAGGACGGCCAGGTCAGGGGAGCACTGAGGACGGCCAAGTCAGGGGAGCACTGAGGATGGTCTGGTCAGGGGAGCACTGAGGACAGTCTGGTCAGGGGAGCACTGAGGACGGCCAGGTCAGGGGAGCACTGAGGACGGCCGGGTCAGGAGAGCACTGAGGACGGCCAGGTCAGGGGAGCACTGGGCACGGCCAGGTCAGCGGAGCACTGAGGACGGCCATGTCAGGGGAGCACTGAGGACGGCCGGGTCAGGAGAGCACCGAGCACGGACAGATCAGGGGAGCACTGAGGACGGCCAGGTCAGGGAGCACTGAGGATTGTCTGGTCAGGGGAGCACCGAGCACGGACAGGTCAGGGGAACATCGAGGGTGGCGAGGTCAGGGCAACACCAAAGTCGGGCAGGTCAGGGCAACATCAAGGTCGGGCAGGTCAGGGCAACACCAAGGACGGGCAGTTCATGGTAACACAGAAGGCGGCCAGGTCAGTGGAATACCAAGGACGCCGTCTGGTCTGTCAGTTTTACCTTATCAGGTCAGAGTAACACCAAAGACGAGCAGGTCAGGGGAACACCAAGAGCGGCCAGGTCAGATGAACGCCATCTTCGTCATTTTTCATCTTCGACATGTCTTCCCGGTGAATGTCGTTTCCAATGTCAACAAAAGCCGTGGCATTAAAACATGTTTTAGATGCGATCTTGTAAATGAGGCTCGAGATTATCGAAAAAAATGGCGATGGTTTTGTACACGCAGAGGTAATCGCAGTCATCAATGATGAGCGTAGACGAACACTTCGTTAATATGCCAGGCAAAACTTGAAAAGGACGCTAACACCAGACAAGTTTGTCGGTCTGATTGTGGTTTGCAACAGATAATATTAGATATGGCGTGGTGTGACGTAAGTTACGCCATGTTACGTGACCTCACGGGTTACAGGCTGGAGTCTACAATCTGGTTGGCCGGCTTGTCCGGTCATGACGTCACGCAGTGACAAAATTGCCAGTCAGCTGTCTGTACACTTGCGGCTAAGGCGCTATTCAAGAATGCAGTTGTTGTGTATGCATGGAAAACTGATGCAAGTATCTGTATTGCACCGCAACAGAGTTTGAGCTACTCAAATGGGAGAAATAGTTGCGCAGTGCAAGAGGTGCATTTGTGTCTATTTTTACGCACGTCAAAGTGGCTAGGCCTAGAGTACGGCGTTCCCTGATGACGGTAGTGTGGGCTTGGACGTCCTGGTGTTCATTGTCATGCTGCAGTAGCCCTGCGTCCGCTATCTATTTTGGGAGGAGGCCTAGCATTTGACCTCCTTTTATTTTTGGTCTGACGTGGGCGCTCGGTTGAACAAAACCGAGATGATTCTCCTGCTTGGAATTCGTTTTGACAGCGGCTTTATTTGCGACGACAGGTGTGCCGCGCAGTGGATGTCCGCTTGCATGCGCTGTTCGTGAGCAGCTGGCCGGCGGCCGGGCGGGGGTCTCCTCCGGGCGTGGAGGCGCCGCCGCCACGCCCTCTGCCCCGCCAGCCCATCGGTCAGATGGTGGTGGTGCGCCACTTCGGGCTCAAAATAGCCCGTCTGTCAATGATTCGGCGTGGCTGTGGTATGCCGACGATATTCCAACACGATGAGTCGGTCGCACGTCTTATCTGCTGGTTAAATCCAGCACACGCTGGATAGACTCAGTGCTATCACGAACATTTCGTTGCAGTAGGCCGGTTCCGAATACGCATGACAGGCAGCTAACATTGTCGCACATTTATGGTGTTTTGCATAGATCACAATAAGACAGCATGAACGCCCGAAACGCAAAACCTCATTCGGGCCTGCGAACGGCAGGACTCTGTGATAGCAGACAGCTGGTGGCAACCGACCGGTCCCCATCGTACACCAATCAGGACCGACGGCAAAACGCCCCGTATCTGGTGACGTATGGCCAGTGAGCATGGGGATGTGATGGTGCGTGTTTGTGTCGGCTCAGTTTGTCTCATGCTGACAGTGACTTTAAAGATTCCATGCGTAGAGAGACGGTGGAGGGTGGAGGGGGGGGGGGGGAGATATAAACGTGTTACACGTGCATGCGACTCGTGGTTAAGAAATGGCGAGAGTTAAACAAATTCAAACGAGTTAAAACAGAACATCGCGTAGATTTGATTATGTAGCTTAGCATACGTAGGTGCGGGTTGCAAGGCTGACACTGATGCTGGTAGACACTGGTTTTATATAATATCCGTCCAAAAGAACATTAAGTTGATAGGCATTTGGACACGACCCCTGGTAGAGGACACAAAATCGCGGCCATTTTTTTTCACGTGACGGATCGCGTGTGTTTGGAAAACGGCGTGCGACATTGCCAGGTAGTTCTGGTGTTGGCCAGTTTTTATGTTTACAGAACGCCGCGACACAAGTTATGTTGCCACGTCTTCTAGGCTTCATTATGCACGCGTAATCTATAATTGCTTTTGTCAGTTTTTGGTTGGCCTGTGTCCGCAAGCCCTACCTGACTCCACCTGCTGTGTCTGTGTGTGTGTGCGGTAGGCTTGTTCCCCATGCCCATCGGTCGGGTTCAGGGGACGTTGTTCTACGTCAACGCTCCACGTGGCCGCCGCCGGTGGCCAGGCTGTGAGTCGCCTTGGCTGGCTTGGTCTGGCGACCTGCAGCCATGCCGCCGTCACAGCCGCCGCGCTGAGGTGGACACCGTCACACCCGCCGGGTGAAGCAGGTCCCTGCTGCTATGGTGACGTGTGCTCTGAGGGCTCGTAACGTCAGCGCGTGCTGTCCCCTCTCGCAGGCGGCCGGAGGCTACCGTCAGCAGGGCAAGACGTACGTCGTCGAGGACGGCGACATCATCTACTTCAAGTTCAACGCTGGCGCTGGGCTGAGTGGCAAGAAAAAGTGAACGCGCGCGCGCGCACGAGATTGCCCTAGGATTGGAATTGTTGTCCATGAAGTGTGCGCGGCTGGTGTTTTGAGGCGGCCGCGCGGCTGGGGAGGCGCACCCCGCGGTGTGACATGCGCCGTCAGTGATGCGGGGAGTGCGCCGGTGACAGGCTATTAGCATGTTTCGGGCGGTGGCGGCTGGCATCGGGCCAGGCCCGGGTTGTGGGCCGCACGCCGCCTGCAGCAGCTGCAGCCCCGGCTGGCCGGCACGCGCAGCCCGGCTCCCAGTTGGCGGGCGGCGCTCGTTAGAGTCCCGCTTGTCAGTCGTCGCCGCCCGTCCGGAAAGGACGATCGCCCGACCGACGGCGAGGCGACGCTGACGGCGCGCGCGCGCTAAACGGGCCGCGCCGGCTGCGAACCGCAACGCGCAGATGATGCATTGCATGGGATGCAGGGGTGGTTGGGGTTTCGAAAGGGCGTGCGATCTGGCCACACATTACTAACCTGGTAAACGACGTGCTGAGTCCCATTGGTGACTAAGGTTATTTGCCCAGTATCTGCGCTTGACCTAGTCGGCGTGGCCTGCGTAATTTCATAAATCCTATTAAACTAATCGTTACACTGTTTTCTAAACGAGCATGTGGCCTAATTACGCTGTGTTTTTTGCGTTGTGTGGCTTAACTTTCAAAACTGCGAAATATATTTCTTGCGGGGTTGTAGCTCTTGTCTGTGATGCGGTAGTCATTTTTCCTTACACCACCTATCTTCCTATCTCCTTCCTATCTCCCTTGCTATGCTTCCTAGTCTCCTTTTGGGTATCCAGGCGTGTATCTGATTTTATGTGAGTGGATTGGTTCTGGTTCCGAACCAAAGCGAATGGAGCTTTATGGGAATCTCATTCAAAGGGACTGTCGAAGATCGGAGTCAGATTACAGCATGAAGAGAAACGCCGAATCCGATTCCCAATCATATTTTTGTCATAGAAAACAAAGCGGCAGGAAGTTTTCTTCGGACGGATTGCATTTAAGACAACTGCTATAGCTGCCCCAAAAGAAGTCAAAGTGCAGGGCGTTGTGATACTGCTTGAAGTATGTTTATGTTTGCACACGTAACATGGCATGTGGAACTGCTTGTGCGTAATCGTATGCGTGCATGCACCATACTCTCGTGCAGGCATATGCATGTACTTCAACCGGAAGCAGAGTGATGCATTCTAACTTCCTTTGGGAGTGGTTGGAGGTTGCAAAAACGCGTCCCGCTCCGCAAAACTCCCTGAGCTGCTTTCCATCCATTTCCATTCAGCACTCCGCAAACGCTTTAGCACGCGATTATTGCCCAGCGGCATCACAGCTAAACTAGAAAACGCCTTTTTCTGGTACACATCTGTGCACATGTTCTTCGCGCATTAAAATAATTGCGTAGTCCATACCCAATCGCCAGGGTGGAGACAGCAGATCGGGAGCCGCGCATGTGCAAACATGACAACGCCGCGCCTGGCAGCGGTGTTGTAACTGCGGTACTGCCTGGGCCGACGCGGTGTCCGTGCGAGGAGCTCGTCGGGGCCTCCCTTAACATGTCAATTGTGAGAGGAGGGGGCTCAGCCCATTCCCTCCAGTGACGTCTTCGGGCCCTCCTGTCAGGAAGCAATCACGCCACTGGTACGAGGGACGAAACATCTCATGGCGTTAAACCTTCAAAGCGAGTCGCTTTGTGTTTCGCCTCAGTGGGCCGAGTTCAGTGACAGGCGAGAGAGATGAAGCATTGGCCGTCTCAGTCAAATCTGATCAGAGAGGGCTCGGCAGCCCTCTGAGACCCTTAGCTCCACGTTGCCAACAACCATTGGAGCGTTCGCCCTCGGCGATATTTGTGCTGCTGGTCTCCCCCTCCCCCCCCCCCCCCCGCCCCCGGAGAGGGGGGAGTAGCTGCGAACCAGGCATCAGCAATGCTTTCATGAGACTTGCAGCGACTACGAATGGAATTTTGGTACCCCAGAGCAAAAGGCGGCGTCGCCACGGCGGGTGCCCCACGCGTCGTGGTAACATGGTGACGGTGCAGCGTCCACAGAGGTCACGGCGCAGCGTCCACAGAGGTCACGGCGCAGCGTCCACAGAGGTCACGGCGCAGCGCCCATACAGGTGACAGCGCAGCGTCCACAGAAGTCACGGCGCAGCGTCCGTACAGGTGACGGCGCAGCGTCCACAGAGGTCACGGCGCGGTGTCCGCAAAGGTGACAGCGCAGAGTCCACAGAGGTCACGGCGCGGCGTCCGTAAAGGTGACAGCGCAGCGTCCGTACAGGTGACGGCCCAGCGTCCACAGAAGTCACGGCGCAGCGTCCGTACAGGTGACGGCACAGCGTCCACAGAGGTCACGGCGCGGTGTCCGCAAAGGTGACAGCGCAGCGTCCACAGAGGTCACGGCGCGGCGTCCGTAAAGGTGACAGCGCAGCGTCCGTACAGGTGACGGCCCAGCGTCCACAGAAGTCACGGCGCAGCGTCCGTACAGGTGACGGCACAGCGTCCACAGAGGTCACGGCGCGGCGTCCGCGAAGGTGACAGCACAGCGTCCGTACAGGTGACGGCCCAGCGTCCACAGAAGTCACGGCGCAGCGTCCGTACAGGTGACGGCACAGCGTCCACGGAGGTCACGGCGCGGCGTCCGCAGAGGTGGCGGCGCAGCTTCCACAGAAGTACCGGCCAGATGTCCGCAGAGGGTAGCAGCCAAATGTCTGCAGATGTGACGGCCCAGCGTCCACAGGTGTGACGGCACAGCATCCACAGATGTGACGGCCCAGCGTCCGCAGAGGTGGCGGCCAAACGTCTGCAGCAGGAACGGACGACTCATCCGCGCTTAATCCTTGTGATCCTCTGTTGATGACCGTATTTTCTGTCGCCAGTAGCTTATGTTCACCGGTTGGTCCCTGTCCTTGTTTGTGCTAGAACCATACGCTTATGCAGTTTGACTCTGTGGCCATGGTAGGAAGCGAGGACAACATCAACCCCAGTTTATCTTCCCGACAGCTTCGACGCGGCTTTATATCACATTTGGGCCCAGCCCCGGATCAATAAACACGAGAGGCAATCCAAAGTGACATCTTCCACGCCGGCGGTTTGTGAGTATAGCCACTTAAAACACTGGTAACTAAACAACCTCTGATAGATCTGTTAATGTGAGAGTGGGGAATGTGAATCCTACTTTTTCCTTGGATGCGCGATGTGATGTGATGAGCAACTCCACCAAATGTGGGTAATCGGGAGGACATTACACAACAACCCTACACTGGCCACGGCACTGGTATGCGGGGGCCATGTCCTGGCACTCACCTGGCACCGACACGCTTCAGCCCAGGCGTCGCCGCATCACTGACGGTTCTGATACACTACCGCTTCTGCATGCGCTTCCGGTGTGGGAGAGAGAGGCAGGAGGCACTCCAATCGCTGAACCCCTTCATTTCATGACTTATGTTCAGCGTACGCCCCTTCCCCAGGTGTGAGACCCGGCGACGCCGCGTACCGCCGCCATCGCGGCACCCACATATTCCATCAACGATCGTTCGCGCCATTTCCGTCAACCACCGCTTCCCTTCCGAATGCAAACGAAAACTCTGGCGATGTTCAGTGGCATGGGACTGCAGATCGCTTATGCAGTAAAACGAACAATATCCAAAGAGCACGGCGCCCGGGAGGAGCGTACTCTCGAGCATACTAGTTGCTTGTCAATGAAGACAAATTAAATGCAAGATGAAGTGAAAATAGCGTACTGCATGCTGTTCGCCCTGGCACTGGTGTCATGCAAATGCTGCCGATTCGATACCAGCTGCCGGCGCGGTGGAGCCTTATATCAGCTTAACAGGTATCGAGCAAAAACATGGGCGGCGGCTGGTATTTTTATTTGTGAGGGACAGGGTTAGCCAAGTAAAGTAAGTAAAGTTTAAAAAAAACTCGTCGGCCCGGTCGGTCAGCACGCATGACGTCACGGATTTCAGCCGACAAACGTGCTGACGACAGATCGAACGCGACCTAGGTCAGCCCATGCTCTGAAGCTCCGCAGTTTGAATTCGAGCTTTTGTGTGCATTCATATGGAAAGTTAATCGCCTCGTTCCCCCCCCCCCCCCCCCCAGCTACTGCGATTTTTGTCTGACGGTGCAAGCAAATTCGACTATGTGTGCCGGTGCATGTGGACGTAGCTACCACTGGGGGTGGGGGTGGCGGATGGGGGATGGGGCACGGGCATGACTATCTCGCAGATTGGATAATGTGTGTGCTTTCACAGCACAAAGTGGTACCAAGTAAGGAATGTATTTCACTCACAAACCCTATTCCGGGCGTGTGGCGGGAGCATTCCGCAGCTCCTCAGGTTTTTTGGTCGGCTCTCCCAAACGGTTGGGCGGGTCGTTGGAGTTTTCTGACTTTCTAAGCATCTGTTCTACGCCTGGCGTCAAAATTTATCGCACATGATATGCAAAGAGGTGGACCTAGGACCTGGGATTGCGGATGGATTTTCTCCGCAGTGAAATTTTACGATATTGTTAAGATGCTGGTCTTCCGGGAATCAGATATGCGCATTGCCTCGCGTTTGCGGGAGACATTGATTCTTACGGTAAACAACAAAGCTGCAACGCCAGTATGATTCTGACAAAATAGAAAAAGTAGCCTGCAGGGGTGGCTTCAGGACTCGACAGGGTAGCCTGACAGCAGCGGCGTCAAGACTCGACAAAGTAGCCTGACAGGGGTGACTTCAGGACTCGACAAGGCAGCCTGACAGGGGTGGCTTCAGACTCGACAAAGGATGAGTTTCCAGCCAAATACCTGCGTTATGGGTCGCCAATTTAGACATATAAGGGATCCTTTCCAGCATCTAGAAGCAGATCCTTAAACATTTACACAACCATGAAATATACGTGGGCAAAGGGGTGCTAGGCCTTTGCGAAAAAAGATACAAAGAAACGTAACATTAAACATATGCCAGCACTATCGTGCTAGGACTGCAGCGCATATTGAAATTCACAGATGTGAAGCGTGTAGATGGACGAGTTAACAGTTTCGCGCAGAGTAGCTTCCAGGGATTAGAATAAGGGGCTCTTGCCATTTGGAACATGAGAGCCTAAAACGAAATGCTGCATTCCATTCCTCACCTCCGCGTGTCTCAGTCGGCGCACCACCGATCCGCACTTCGGAGGGCTCATCTACGTCCCGGCCTGGCGATGCCCATCATTCTTTCCAGTAGTTTATTTTTGCGCTTAGAATCCTCGTCGTGTTTTTACTAGAACCGTAATCGGTAGATTATCCTGCCAACACATTCGGCATACCTTTATTTCACGCACGGGCCTCTCTCTGAATCGACTTTGAAAAGAGTGGCATTTCATAGCAACGGCCTCCACTTCGGCGGCTTATGAGTAAGGCGAACAACTGTTAAAAATCGGCACCAGCAACAGACGTAAAAATAAAGCAAATAAATATAAATTGTGAATGAGCGATGATAGGCTTGTTTCAGTGAGAAAAACGGAAATGCGAAGCCCAATGTCCTTGGAAATGTGTCATGATAAAAGCCATCAAAGGAAGATAATCAGGTAATAACTTGCACAATAATTTGGCACTGGGTAGGACACTGCTATTCGGCTTCTGCTACGATTGAACCCATGCCCGATCAACTTTGGCTGACACGGGCGATGGCACCGAACGTAAGCCTTTTTATCACCGGCGGGCCTGTCCTAGCGCCGGCCTGGCACCGATTTTCTTCAGCCCAGGCGTCACCTCGGCGCTGTCGGAATTGACGGATACTGCTGGCATGACCGGTAAGGGTGTCCCCCGTGTGGGGGGTGGGCTAGAGGCACTCCCCAACCACTGAACGCCTTCCTCCCCAAACCACCGCCCACCCTTCCTCAGACGTGAAATCCTGACGTGAAATTGGGCATCACTTTCTCCAAGCATGAAACCCTGAGGGCAAGGGCTCCAGCGATATGCCGTAGCATCAGGCGGCTGCGAGTTACCTATAAGGTAAGGCGCAAATGAAATTTGAGTAAAGCACCACCTGAGAACGTTAAGGGGAAATTTAGCACACGACTTGCATTGAGATTGAAAACGGCACAGGCCGCCAACCGCAACAACAAAGCGACAACGTTGCCACCGCTGCTACCGAATCATCATCAGCTACTGGTATGACGCTGACCAAATCTGCTCAAAATGTAATCGAGTGCAAAGTCCCCCCTTTCGTCCGTCCAGACCTAGCCTTTCTAAATTGTAAGCTTTCCACACATTGCATTCTGGCAATCGTGGCATATGCAAATTGCTATCGATTCGAATATGAGATTAGTTTAAGTTAGCACATACCCGACTCCCTGCAACCTGGTCCAAAGACGGTGATTGGTATCACCTACCTGATGGCTTTGATACGCGAAAGTGATGTGCATACAACTGTATTGGAGACCGTGTCTGTCTGCATGGATGTAATTACCGTTGGTGAGGGTAAGGAAGCATGCGCTCCAGGGACTCAGCCAAATGAGCGGCCAGTGAGAGAGGACCGGTCCCCCTCCATAGGTTGTAATCTTTCTTTTTTCACCATAGATAACTCTCAAAATAAGGGGAAAACGGCGTGAAGCGCACTCATCGAGCTCCGACCCGTCACTTCGGAGATCCTGCCTGCGGCCTTATGCCCCCCCCCCCCCCCCCCCCGATTAAGCCAAAGTGAACTATTTTCACGATCAATGTCTATTGTAGAATTAACGGTGTTGTGTTTCTCATCAAACACTATCATTTTAAGCTCAGTTTGTCCGCCATAAACCCACATTTGAGACCCGTCCCTATCAGTATTGTCAACTCCAATTTCAGCTACGTGGCAGCAATGCTTTTCAGAGCTGGTGTCAAAGATAGCAGCATTGCAGCAATTCAAAGTGAGCTGCATGACCGACAGTCACTCACCAGTTGATGGGCAGTCATGGCTGTCCACCTTGTATCGGCGTTTGGCAATGCTGCTGTGTTGTGACGATACTGATAGATATAAACAAATGCCACGCCTCAGTTTCATCCATTAGCCATCTACAGCAGAGCGACATTTCTTGATATTCAGCACCATCTTAAAATATCTTGTTAATTCTACAATGGCTGACCGGCAGCCGTACCGTCTCACTTACGCCAGGCAACTGCCTTGACCCGGCATTTGATTGAAGTTCGCCTCGACTTCTCTGGGCATCTCTCTCTACCCTTACTTTACGGCACACTGTGAAACAAACAAGACAGGACCAGGTTTTGGAATTTGGTAGACTAAAAGTGAGGGAAAGTGGCGCAGGAGTTCCAATAAATTTTGCGCTTACATTAAGACGGTGTATATCGCTTTACTACTCTGAATTTCTCGTATTGAGGCGCTTAGGGCCTTACGCGGCGGCAGCCACCCCAAGACTGGACGTGTGCCCTGTGGTTCGAAAGCAAACACGAGACGTGGACAGGGATTTTGTGGAAACCGTGTTAATAATGGCGTCTACAGCAGGGAGAAATACCTTGACTGTCGTTCGTGATTTCATGAAGCGTGTTTCCAATACGAAGCGATTTGATCGGCTGATGGGACAGGTAAACGTTATCGTATGTTCTAAAAATAATGTGATGCATAATTGTGATCATGGTGGTTGAGTGGCATAGTTCTGGAATATGAAAATGAGTACTGAAATTGCTAATAACTTGTTATACAGCTCTTTGAAAACCCTCAAATGATTATCTGGTGTGTTGATATGAACCATGGTCATCTAATACAGATAGGATTATCATCAGGTCAATGCTTTTTCTCATTTAATACAGATAGGATTATCATCAGGTCAAGACCTCATGGGTTCAATTCTGCATGTACTGTACAATGTTGTAGGAGGGAGAAAATATGCTCAAATTATTTAGATGGCCACACAATGATGTTTTATTCATGGTATTTAATACCAGTTACATGGGAATGATGTTCAGAACTGGCATTGTTCAGCTGTTTCAAGCAGCAATTGCTGCTAGCATCTCAGAAATGAAGGATGGGGATAATGTGGATATGCACATTAAGTTATATCTTTCCAAGTTCAGCTACCTGGTTATCACCATATACCAAAATATTTGTATCAGCCCTGCTTTTTTAAGCAATTGTCAAATACTTTTGATTATTTGCTGATCCATGGCTAGTAAGTTCTTTGTGCAGGTATTATTCAGTAGTTTATCCCCAACCCTGCCAACTGGAGTCATTGCAGATGAGGCATTCTGTCCTGCACTCTGCAAGTGGTGCTCCGCAGCAGGCAAACAAGCCATGCCTGAACTATGTTGAGTTTTTGCCCCATTTGACCAACCCCAGCCTGCCTGGTGGCCCAGTTCTACCTGCCCAAATGAAGCCATTGTCCTATCCACCTAGTCCAGCCCCACTCAGGTGGAGCTGTGGGCTGCCTGACCAGCTCCACCCCGTTGTGTCCAGGTTGTTGTTGTGGCCGCCGAGCCCGGCCAGCTGAAGGCCCAGTTCACGGTGGCCGAGGAGCACCTGAACGCGGGCGGCACGCTGCACGGCGGCTACACGGCCTACTTGGTGGACGTGCTGTCAACAGCTGCGCTCATGACCGTGCCGCCCAACCTGGCCGGCGTGTCGGTCGACCTCAGCGTCGCGTAAGTGGCCCGCGGCGTCGCCTCCCCTCCATTGCGCCTGGTGCGCTAGCGCCGACTGCGATGCCCGTCGCTTTCCGTTCTTTTCATCTTCCCCGGGTTTTTGTTATCGTTTTCGCATCTTGTCTGCATAGTTTCTCCGTCGCCTGGACAGACCAAGCGGACGGATGGACGCTTTGTGGCACTGCGAACAGCGGGGCACCAGGACAGGTGTTCACCGACCCTCGCGGTCGGCCGATGTCGTATCACCGACCATGCCATCCTCCATTTGCCCGGCTGGCCGTCGCACCGCTGTGCAGCATCTGGCGTGTGTGGACTGTGACATTCGCGCCGCCGGCCGCAGGTACATGAAGGCCGCCAAGGCAGGAGACGTCGTCACCGTGGACGCGCTCACGCTCAAGGTGGGACGTCAGTTAGGCTTCAGCAGCGTCGACCTCAGGAACGACGCCGGCCAGCTGCTCGCGCAGGGCAAGCACACCAAGTTCCTGATTTAGTGGCCTCTGGCGGCCGCTGGCTCCACTTGACCGGCGGGGGCACCGGGGCACCGTGTGGGCGCGGACCTGGGCCGGGCATTGTCGGCCGGCGGCTCCGGCGGAGAACGGCGCCGAGCCGTCAGAAGCCACCCCGACAGTCTTCCAGCGGAGAGACAGTAGTGCGACTGCTGGCGTCCGACGAACCCTACGCCTCGGGGACCAGTGGATAGATGAAATATCCAGGGTTTCGGTGACAACGTTAATCGTCATTTGACCCTGCTGACCTAACAAGTGCAATGACGCTGGCATTACTGTGCATCGATCTGCTTCTTCGCATCGAGGCATTCACAGCCCGGATGAAGTTTAGGGTGCGCATGTAAATGAGTGACCAATGTATAAATAGACTGAGTGCCGGTCTCGATCGGGCTCCGTAACATCCGTTTCACCACGCTCACATCGTGGGTTTGCCCCAGACAGTTCTCTATGAGGCATACATGACCAAACTCGATGTAGTAGCACGCAGTCCAGCTTCCGCAACAGGTATCAAAAAGCATTCGCATCCGACAACGATGATCACAGACAACACGATAGCACTGCGCATTTCGAACTTGCCGCATGCACTAGAGGTTCTTGAGCTCCCGCGCGAATGACGTCATGTCCATGAAGTCGCGGCGGGTCTTGCCCTTGCGCGTGCTCGAGAGCTTGCTGTTGACGGCGCCGGCCGCGGCGCGCGCCGTCTCGGCCAGGTCACCGTCGGGCCGGCAGCGCAGGCAATACAACACCTCGTTGACCTCCTCCGGGATCGGGTACGAGACGCAGGCGGCGAACGTGGCGCTCAGGTCGGCCCGCACGCGGCCGCTCAGCGCCGCGTCCCGGGCCACCAGGTTCAGCACGAATACGCCTGCCGCGAGACACTGCATCAGTCACTGGGCGGCGGAGGCAGCAGCGCCCGCGAGCAGACGGTGGACTGCGTGCTCCTGCCACAGTGGCACGGGACTCGAGGGTCGGACGGCGCCCAACAGCGGCGACCGCGCGACTCTGGCCTGGTAGCAGGAATATTGGCAGCCCACCAGGATTCGAAGGCCCAGACGAATTTGGAGCCGCGCGCTCCATTCTTTTGGATCATAAACCCACTTGCACTGATTCCGCCACAGGGTCAGGGGAGGAGCAATACCTCAACATTCGTTTCGTTTGTGTGACGCTAGCGGCGTTCTAAGGAAACAAATCGCTTCATAAGCTCAATGTGCACGCCGCTTTTGATTAGTGGTGGAGTCCCTGGTCATCAGTGGTGCAGCCCCTGGTCATCAGTGGTGGAGCCCCTGGTCATCAGTGGTGCAGCCCCTGGTCATCAGTGGTGGAGCCCCTGGTCATCAGTGGTGCAGCCCCTGGTCATCAGTGGTGGAGCCCCTGATCATCAGTGGTGGAGCCCCTGGTCATCAGTGGTGGAGCCGATAGTCGCGTGCCGATTCCAAAAACCAACGCGGGGCATTGCGACGGAAGCACTGTCTGCAGTTATACGGCGAGCTATAGCGGTACAGGTGTGGAAAGTAATCTTACGTCCCAAGATGGTGGCGTTTATCAAATATGCATGAGTCCGCTGAACTCACAGTACACATTAAAAACCGAACATCCAGCAACGCGCGAACGAAGACCGACGGCAGAAGCATCTTCCTATCACAGACGTCAACAGTTAATCACTGCCTCACAGCGGGTCCGCAGCCGAACTTACCGTCCTCACACAGGCAATCGCGGACATCGCGGAGCAGGTCTGGCTCCACGAACGGAGCCGGCGGGCAGCTCATGCCCAAGCTGGGGTCCTTGCAGTCCACGTCAAACATGATGACCGAGTACTGCCGACCTGTCAAACAGCATGACGTCACAGCGGTGTCATGGTTAGGTGTCGGTCAAAAATACATCGCCAACTTGGCGAACCACACAGCAATGCGCGATCGCTGTGGTATTTCTTGTTAGTACCAGACGTTCAAAGATTTACTCCCCACAGATGTGCCTCTTCGTGGATGGATAATGGGTGGATCAGATGGGTGGATCGGATCTTTCACACGGAACTAAGTTATTGAACGCGAAAAATAACTTCGCATTTTTAAACTTAAAGCGCCAAAAATTAAAATAAACGACTTAACGCCAAAAATAATTATGTCATGAACTTGCAGTTTCTATGTTATAATTTTGAATCTCGCCCAGCTAAATGCATCGGATGCTTGCTTTCTTGGCGCATCAAAACAAAGCGCTTGAGAGGGTTCTGGTGGCGTGTGGCACCAGATATATTAGCGGCGCCTGCGTCCGAATTTACGCTCCAGGCGTCGTTAACCGTCCCGAAGGCCAGGTCAAGTAGCTGCCAGTCCCACCCTGAGAATCCTACTTCCCTGGCAATAAACATAAGAACGTCTTGGGATTTCGTCTTTTGCAAACATTAAAACACAGAACTGTTTGTTAACGCAAGATAATAGAATGAGCAACGCATCAATGCTTCAGCAAGTCAACTTTCAAACACGCATCTCGATATGGAAGCCGGGCATTGCGATCTCGTGTTTCCGGTGGCGTCCTAAAATTTTGTATGCTTCCGTGGCCAATGGGGCCGACCAGAATCTCCTGGAGCAGTAGTCTTAGAAAGAATAGCGCGTTATTTGGAGATTTTTAGACTTCACCTTTACAGCACAGAAGCTGTGGATCATATAAGTCAAGGTATCTTGCGGTGGAACAAGGGCCTTGCGAGAGCCTAGGCAACACGCCCGGCAAGTGATACCTGCAGCGACAGATGCATCGCCGCTTCGAAGATACACTGCACTGCTACCAAAAAACGAGCGTGCCCAAGAGCAGTTTTGCCGAGCTTTATCCTGACGTCTACCAAAACGCATCTGTTTTAAACGCAATGTGCTTTACTAAAGCCACAGTAACAGAGCGACCCTCAGGTATCAGGTGGTCACTGTACACGACTGAGAGGTGTTAACTTCAGTCGGCGTGAGCTGCACATGAGTGTGGGCAGCTGCTGGGTCGGTACGGCTGGACCCCGAATGGCATTTGCCAGCGGCCGGAAAGGCGAGAGGAGCTTCCCCACCACTGACGGTGTCAACCGGAGCGGTGGGAGCCGCCTAAACACGCGCCCGGTCGGCGGTCGGCCGGTCGCCCTCCTCTGCCTGCTGCTGGCGCCGAGTCTGCCGCGGCCGGCGGCAGCCGTCAACAGCACGGCGCCGCCGCCGCCCGGCGCGGTAGCACGCTACCACGATTGCGACTGTGGCGTGCCCATCTACCCGGTCGGTCGCATCGTGAACGGCGTGCCCACGCGCCGCGAGGAGTTCCCCTGGATGGTGGCGCTGTTCGCCGGCCGCTCCTTCCGCAACCCACCCAAGTGCGGCGGCTCGCTGGTCACCGACCGGCACGTGGTCACAGCCGCCCACTGCCTCACCTACTTCTCGGGCCTGTCGCCGTCCAACACGTACGCGCTGGTCGGCGCCTACAACTGGACCGACCGGTACGACGTGCACAAGTCGCAGCTGGTGCGCGTGTTCGACGGCTTCCCCATGTCCACCTTCGATATGGACAAATTCGACGGCGACATAGCGCTGCTGGAGCTGGAGCAGCCGGTCGAGCTCAACGCCTTCACCTACCCCATCTGCCTGCCGCCAGCGAACTTCACGCTGGAGCACGCGGCAGACGGACCGTTGCTAGTGATCGGGTACGGCCGGCTGTGGGCGCTCACCAGCGACGAAACGGGCCCGCAGCCGCAGGACCTGTTCAAGACGGTGCGCAAGATGCGCCTGGTGGACGGCCCCACCTGCTCCGAGGACCGGCAGGTGAAGCGCACCTTCCACAAGTCGATGCCGCTGTCGGCGCGGCAACTGTGCGCGTACGGCGATGACACCGACTCGTGCCAGGGCGACTCCGGCGGGCCGCTGATGTACTTCGACCGCCAGCGGTACCGCTACTACCTGACCGGCCTGGTTAGCTACGGCGCCATGCACTGCAACGCGCCCGGCCTGCCCGGCTTCTACACCAATGTCATCCACCCGAGCATCCGCAACTACATCGCCTGCAACATCGTCGACGGAGTCACCTGCAGGCACTGACGCCGGTGGCGCGCCCTTCTCCGAGCTGCTCCGCGGCGTCACGGCTGCATGACCGCGGAGCGCGTGGCCTAGACGGCCAGGCGCGGTCAGTCGCAGCATCAGGTGCGCGCGACCCTTTTGCGCCTGACTCGGAGGAACAGCGACCGCGCACGTGTCGCGCTACCGACCGACTGAGACCATGATGAGACCGCGGCACGCCGCTGGGAGGGTCCGAGTCGAGGCGGGCGCGCGACTGACTGGCGGAGCCCGGCGCCCACGCGCAGGCTGCAGCGGGCCGCTCGCCGGCGCATCGGCTGCCCTCTCTGTGTCGACCTCGAGCCACGCCAAGCCGCACCACGGCTGGGACTGAACACCTGGGCATGCCGACACTGCACACGTTCGAACGCGGCACAGACGGCGACCGAACGCAGGCGGGCGCGGCAGCGAGGCACGGCCAGGCGGAGCTGCCGCGGCGGCCGCCGGCGCGGCCCCACAGTCCCACAGGCTGCAGGGTGTCCGGCGCCCTCCCGGCGGCGCTCAGCTCAAGTTGGGAGCGATGTCACGTGATGTGGAGGCAACTGACGAGGTGAATGTTGGGAGCGATGTCACGTGATGTGGAGGGAGCTGACGAGGTGAATGTTGGGGGCGATGTCACGTGATGTGGAGGCAACTGACGTGGTGAATGTTGGGAGCGATGTCACGTGATGTGGAGGCAACTGACGAGGTGAATGTCGGGAAAGGGATGAATACTAGATCGTTGACATCAATAGCGTTGCCAGATTACGAGATCCGGTGACATCAACAGCGAGCATTCGACGACGGCCTTTGTCTCCAATGGGAGGGGACCACACCTTATCCTGTGACGCGTGTCCCTTGGAACACACGCGCTATTTGACGCACTCCCAACGCACACGGTGAGACCCGTAGGTTTACAGTTGAACTGTGCTAGGCGTAAGCACACACACACGACAAGAATAAAAGACCAACATCCATTGGTTTTTGTATCGTAGAAATTGCGAGCACTGACAAAAACGTGGAAGTAGTATCTGGAAGGTCAGACCAGGCAAAGTTCGCCGAAAACGAATGAATGCAATGAGCACCACCTTCGAAACAATCGTGTGCGTCCGGAAGTGTGGAGAGTATTCGGTGGCCGCCGCCCTGGCCGCATTCAGTCACTGAGTCCAAATCAGAATTCCGGTGTTTTCACGTTTGAAACCCAATCCATCCGACTGGGTACTACAAGGCCGGCGTGACGTCATTGGAAAACCCCCATCCCGAAAGCGTGGAAGGATCACCACTGAATAAGAGCATGACCGTCCACTTATTAATCGTTCCCAGCAACAACATCCGCACATGTTACCAAAAAACAAACAAACAAAAAACACTCAAAGAAAAAACGATTATGATAATCTTGAGGGATTATGATAATCTTGCTAAATGATATCAAAAAGGAGAAAAGGGGAGACTTCCGCATGACAAAATGTCAATCGCCCTTAAAGCTGAACTACCACGCGCTTGACCGCGTTGAGCCCAGCGCTGCAGTGGTTCACGCTGGGCGCTGCATTGTGCGGTGTTCCGGGGCCCCGGAGACCCTGACCCCGTGTCCTGGGATACGCCAGCCCGTGCTGTACGGCCCTGTCAACCCATGCACCGACCGCGCTGCGCCGGGTGGTGCCGTCCCGGCTGATTCCTACAACGACCACGTTCAATACGCTTCGAGACAAACCGTACACTAATGCCGTTTTCTGATCGCGGACGGCCCGCGCGCTCACCCTGCGTTTTGCAGTCCCGCATGAAGTGGACGCCGTCGGCCACGTGCACGGTTAGCCGCCGGTCCTCGGCGAAGTCGAACCAGTCGCGCGCTACGGCCACCATCTCCGGGTCGATGTCCACCACGTCGAGGGCGGCCTGCACGCGGCAGGTCGGCAGGTCGGATGGGAGCGGAAGGCACGGGGACAACAACCGGCGACTAACGGTACGGTCACAGACACACAGACACACGCACGCACGCACGCACGCACACACACACACGCACACATACACACACACACACACATATATATATATATATACATATATATATATATATACATATGTATATATAATCAGTCTTAATTTATTAAACCATACATCAGCTCAAGACGACCCAGTACATGCTGCCGACGAAGGCGAACCCCGAACGCGAGGACGCCCGGCGGCGGCCATTACCTGGCTGAACTTGTCATGTAGGAAGCGCGCCAGCCCGCCGCCACCCAGCCCCACCAGCAGCAGGCGGGCCGGCCGGTCAGCGGCACCGGCCAGGCCCAGGCCGGCCGCCATGTACCGATGGTGCAAGCACGAGAGGTGCTCCGCGTCCACCGCTAACGAGCGCTGGCCGCCCTTCGCCGCCACTGCCGCAGCGGTCGGCAGGGTCAGTGGACGGCATCATCAGCATCATCATCATCATCATCATCTAGGCGATCAATGACGTGCAGCAGCTCTCCACGGGTGGTAGGTGGCAGCCCAGGCGAAGGAGAGCGCATACATCGCGAAGACGTCAACGCGTGGTCCCGTCACCACGCACGCGCGGGAAATGAGGCAGCAGGACACGGCGACAACAGAGCACCACACATCAGCTGTCAATGAGAAAACGGGACACAGCTTGCACCCAACCCCAAGCAGCCCGTTGGCCGTTGTTAGTCAAACATATAAGCCAGTCTAAAACAGCACAGAGCAATGCCTGAACGGGCAGGGGAAGAGCGCGACAACTGACGGCCGCTGGACTGCCGTGAACCGCAGCACGGCATACCTGGTTTGAGTTTGGCCTCCGACTGAACGATGTTGACGTTCGAGAGGAAGACGAGTCGGCGGAAGACGTCGCCATGCTCGAGGTGCACGTCCTCCACCACGTAGTCGCCGGAGACGGCGCTAGTGCCGCGGTGACGCAGCTCCCGCCGCCCCAGGTCACCGGCACAGGTCAGGAACGGCACCTGTAGGGTCACATAGCATCAGGCATGGTGTTGGTCAGGTCATGGAGGGTCAGGAATGGTGCCTGTACGGTCACACAGTGTCAGACACGGTGTTGGAGCGTCAGGTCAGGTCAGGTCAGTCATGGAGGACCATGGGGGGTCAGAAACGGCATCTGTGCGGCAACACAGCGTCAGGGATGGTGTTGATAAGGTCACAGAAGGCCAGGAACGGCACCTGTCCGGTCAGAGAGTCGGGGACAGTACTGATCAGGTCATGGATGTTCATGAGTGTCGTCTGTCTATCGGGCCATAGGCGTGAGGACCGATTACGCACGATATCAGATACTGGCATGGAGACGAACTCAGGCTTTTGGCTTTGAAACCAAATCCGAAGCCAAGACGCAGACGAGCCCCAAGTCGAGGACGAGCCGCTGGCTTTGAAGTTTTCTAATTTAAAGCCAACGCTGAGGCTGGTGGCTTCATGTTTTAAAACGTTACGCCGGACCCGAAGCGCACCCGCGTGCAGACAGCGTCTTCCACCTGTCTGGCGGCTTCGAGCGTAGGATACGTGAAGCCAAAGCCGAAACCTTTGGTTTAGAATCCCAAGACCAGAGCAGGAGCCGACTCTGATGTGCAGCAGTGTTTCGCGAAAACCAACCCATTTTCGGGTCTGGTAAGACCGCATGGGATCACATGACACACAATTAGGATTTCGCGGGGTGGCTGAGACCAGGTGGTGACATAACAAATAGAAGATTTTCGAATGTGTGGTTGTGCATCGTTTCAGACAATCAGCTCTCCGACCGTTGTCAGGCATTACTTGGTGCTGACAATTTGTTAAGTTATTTTTTAACTGATTGGTGATAGCTGATTGATCTTCGGCCATGTATACGCCGCAGCCTCGAAAGGGTGCATGGCGTGGTAGGTTGACAGGACGAACAGGACTGTTTTGTCGAGTAAAGTCGCAAACAAAGAGAAAATGACCATTACGGTGTAGAGGCCATCAGCTCAAAATGAGATATGGCCGAGGTCGGTGCTCAAATTAGAAGGCTGAGGACGAAGGCGGAGCCCGATGTTGAAAAAAGCACAGAGCTGAAGCCGACGCCGTTTCAAATCGCACGGGGAGATAGTCGAAGCTCGTCAGCCGGGGAAAATAGTTCAAGGCCGAAATGGAACCAAAAACCTTTGGCGGATAACTGGCATTTCACCAAAACAGCTGCCGAAGCCGGTTTCGTCCCATGCTCGATCAGACAGGTCAGAGAGTATCGATAAATGCGTTTTTCGTATCACAAAGAGTTGGAAATGGTGCCTGCTACTTGTCACGTCAGATCGTCAGAATGGCACCAGTCACTCACCAGGTCACAACTGACACAACGGGCGGAGAACCGCGGCAGGCAGCCCTGGTGACCGCGTCACTGCATGCTCACACACATACCCTGCTGCGACGCCGACCAGGCCCCCTGAGCCGGCCGGCCTCTGACCTGGACATCGTCCCGGAGGTGCGCCGGCCGCAGCTGGAGCACGCTGCCCGACAGCTGCTCCTGCACCTCCTGCAGGGCGCCGTAGCGCCGCCGCCGGTCCGGCAGGTGAACCACCACCAGCCGGTCATGACCAGCCGTCTCCGCCAGCTGACGGCGGCCGGCCGGCGTGCCGAACAGCCACTCCGTCTCCCTGGCGACGGCGGAAAGTAACGGTGACGCACGGCCGCCGCCCGCCGCCGCCGCCCCTGGTAACGGCAGCTGCCGGCGGTAATGCACGGCCAATCCGTGTCCCTGGCAACGGCAGCAGCCGGCGGCAATGCACGGCCAATCCGTCTCCCTGGCAACGGCAGCTGACGGCTCTAATGCACGGCCAATCCGTCTCCCTGGAAACGGCGGCTGCCGGCGCTAATGCACGGCCAATCCGTCTCCCTGGCAACAGCGGCTGCCGGCGCTAATGCACGGCCAATCAGTATTGTCAACCAGAAGCGGTGACACGCAGCTACTCCATCTCCAGGGCAACAGGATGCGATGGCCGGGCGACACGTGATAACCCCGTCTCCCTACACCCGCAAAAGACGGCTGTGACGGCCAGATTGTCTTCCCAACAACAGAAATGGGCGGCGGCGACGCACTGCCACGGACACCATTCTCTAGCTTCAAACACTTCGAGTTCCGATAATGGGCGGCGGGGGTCCTCACCGCCCCTGCGGCACGATGAAAGATGGCGAACGCCTTCTTCGTCTTCTTGCGCCAGCGGTCGACGACGAAAAGCGTGAACCTGGCCTCGTCGCTATCGGCATCGCACAGCTCCAGCCGCACGTCCTCACCGCTGCCAGGAGCAGCCAGACCGTGGCGCGTGAAGGCGAACTGCTGCAGCCCGGTGACCGCCTGCCGCACGGCGTCGGCCGAGGGCAGCCGACGCGGCCGCTCGTCCTGCAGGCTCACCTCCAGCACCTGCCCGGCGGCGCGGCGCCGGCCCCGGGTCAATGACCAGGCGGCCGTCTCGCCTTTGGGCTTTCACGCCGGGCATGGCATTGTGTAATCGCATGCTGGTATCGTTACGAGACGTGGACACGGGCACGGGGTCGTCGACGAACGGAAACTTCCTGGCTGAGATAATCGGCTTCAGCACGGCTCCCGACGAAATAATCTTAAGCAAGGACAAAATTTGCGCAACAAAACTGTGCATACGGTTACAATAGTAGTAGCTAGATTTCCTCCACAAACTGACACCTGCCGGCCCAAAGCCGCAAAAAAGCAATTTTGTTTTGCTGAAAGCCATCGACTTTTCGGATTTATGACAGCTCAAACACGCAAAAATATCCAAAGCAAAGGATGAACTTACGCTCATGGGCTTCCGGTCCGGCAGGAGTTCAAACTTTGTGCACACCACAATAAAGACAGGGAAAGGTATCCCACCGGAGTCGGAGTTCTCAGCACCCTTACACCTGAAAAAATACACACATTACATGGCGAACATATTAAAAACCCATGGTCACAAAATGAAATACTAAAGGATGAGATGTCGGGTGATTGCTGGCATGTGTTACAAATGTGGTCCTTCAACTCTCATCACCAACATTAACACAAGCAAAATCCCGACCAGAGGACCGATGGCGAGCTTTTCAAAATCGGGCTAAGCCACTCATTACGCACTCATATCTTAACCATCCAGACGGCGTCCAGAATACTGTGGATCTCTGGTATGATCTCAAGACGTAGTCCAGAACACCAGCATATCGTGATAAACATGATTTGGCTGTACACTGAAAGTTCACGAACAAGATGCTTAATTTTAGCATAACCACGATGGCAGCAATCGACATTTCTAACCGCGAAGCACTGACGAACCCCGAAACACCATCACGAATACCAGAGCATCAAACAAAGTTAGCTCACTTCCCCAGTAATCGCTGAGAGCTTACGACCTGTGCCACTGCCTGTGGCCTGACCTGCAAATGCGAACCATCCAGCCCTGCTGTGGGAACCACTCCAGCAGCTTCTTGAGAATGTGGCCCTGCAGCAGCGACACGCAGACGTACCTCCGCCAACCTTTAGCACCCGGCCCGATCCTCCTGAAAACGGCACCGCGGTCCGTCGTCACGCACCTCCAGCAAACCCTCGCAAACCCTGAGCAAACCCTGAGATGTGGACGTGGCTAGCTGCTGGAGTGTACCTGCACAGCACACCAATATGACCAGCGAGGAGGCTTCTCCACGTCCAGCACGTTCAACGACGTCACGCGCCTCCAGCAAACCCTCGCCTGAGATGTGGACGTGGCTAGCTGCCGGAGTGCACCCGCACAGCATACCAATACGACCGGCGAGGAGGCTTCTCCACGTCCAGCACGTTCAACAACGTCACGCGTCCGCACGCGGAGCCATCACAGCAACGGCGATGACGCACCGTGAACATGGTGTCCACCATGCGCGCCGTGTGCTCGTCGTCCTGGGTGAAGACGGCGTCCAGCGTGCCCTTGTCGAGCACGCACGTGAAGTTCTTGTCCGGGAACTCGAGCTTCATCAAGTCCATGCGGGTGAAGGTCATGCCGAGCGGGCCGTATTTCTGCAGCATTTGACGAATGACGACCTCGCTGATGTCCACCGACACCATCGACCTGAAAACGGCACCAACCTGACGGTCGATGCCAGCTGATGTCCACTGGCACCATCGACTGAGCAGACACCACATTGATTGGGCACACACACCATTGACCTGATAAATGTGCAAGGCACTGACAGATACATCATAAATGTGACAAATGTGCCATCAATTCAGGGAGTATGCTACCTACTTGACAAGCACACCAGCACTTTAATACATCTAGATAAAGATATGACACTGTATGTACCAACTCACTACTTACCCGATAAACATGCAAGCCACATTGCATATCCTCAATATTACAGATAGGTTATACACACCGGTCAGATGCTTACGCCACCCAATCGGATGGCAAGTGATTGAACTCACAAGAACACCAATCACAAGATAATCCAGCAAGCAATTATTCATTGTTATCAATAATTCAAAAGCAAATACCTCACTGCTTTGAAATGAGCTGTTCATATGAAAAACAGAACAACCTGATGGAGGTGTACTTTAGTTCATATGTATAGTGCCTGAAGTTTGTTTTGTTGCCCTTTTAGCCCTAGCTGTTACATGCTGCTGTACAGAACCTCAAAGCAGCATGACTTAACTGCTCCTCTGCACACCTTTTTTTGAGTGACCAAAATAATGTGCCATCAGTCTAACTCTTTTACAATCATGTAACATGAAATGTGCACAAAAAAACTGCATAGCTTCCAAATGGCAATCTAAAGGCAGAGATGTTGCAGATTGATATTATGATGTGTAAGTTTACAGAACAGATTGAAGCTGCATGCCTTCTGCTCTATTCAGTTGCCCATGTGCCATGCCTTCACAGACAACACAGTAGTATACATGGAAGACATATTTGCATAGCAAGTAGTTACACTTTTGCTGCACCTGAAATGTGTCTTCCTTGAAAGAAACCAGCTTCACTTACATCATGCCTGCTATTCAAACTTCACGGATCAGGATCATTGATCAGGGATCTTTGGATGGATACAAAGTCCAGCCTGAGCATGAATCAATTCCTCCACAAACACTGCATCAGTTGCATAAGTTTAACAAGTTCAGCATGCACAATGGATATGTTCGGCACATCACT